TACTACTACTACTACTACTACTACTACTACTACTACTACTACTACTACTACTACTACTACTACTACTACTACTACTACTACTACTACTACTACTACTCCTCCTCCTCCTTCTCTGTCTATTTAGGTTAGTCTAACTCTGATGTAATGTGATGTGATATGGCTGAGTTGAAAGATTGCTTCAGCTGCATGACTTCTACTTCAGACCCAGCTTCAAGCCTACCTATGCCTTCCATCCCGTGTGAAGGATGCATGGACACTGGCCGCCGAATGGAGCGGCTACACCCACGAGCGCAAGGGGCTTCGCGTCTCGAGCAATCCACGGAACGCACAGCGGTCTAACTACTTCCTCTCGATCCCCTACCGCTACGCGATCCCCCTCATGGTCGCCTCTACGCTCCTGCATTGGCTCATCTCGCAGAGCCCGTTCGTGGTCGGGATCGAAGCGTGGGGCACCGATGGGCTGCGCGACCCCACCTCCGACTTTATCACCTGCAGCTGGTCCGCGGTGGGGATCGTGAGCAGTATTGTGGTCGGGACGGCGCTTTTTGCCGGCATTGCGGGCCTTGGTCGGCGGCGCTTGGAGTCGCTGATGCCCGTCGCGGGGAGTTGCAGTCTGGCCATTGCGGCAGCGTGTCATCCCAGATTCGATCCCAATGTCGACCGGGAGGATAACAATAGGCCGGGTAGTGGGGATGTGTTTGGTGAGGAGGAGGAGGAGGATGATATGTCGCTTGTGGCGGTTCAATGGGGTGCGGTACCGGTGACGGCTGGCCCTGTCGGCCATTGCAGCTTTACGAGTGGGAAGGTCGACATGCCTCGGACCGAAGGGGTGGTTTATCAGTAGGTCCCAGCCTGTCGTTCTCTCGTTTTTCTGTCAGCCCCTTGATGCTTCGTACCTACACGAGGTAAGGTTACCTTCATTCAAGCCCCAGTTAGTGCTTATCCGTTGCAAAACCCTGCCGCTAAGAGTCAGCACTCTGCACCTCGAGTCAGAACATGAGAGCAGGACTTAAGCAAGTTGTCCAAGGCTGTGGCGTAGGATTTAATATCGAGAGTTCAAGTGCTACCATTTCTCTCTCTCCTCCTTCGCTGCCTCAATCTCCAGGATCTGTATGCTTGAGTGTCACGCCAGGTGTCAACAATGTTGGAAGCTCCAGATAGTGGTCCAGATAGTGGAAACAATGAAAGCTGCCCATCCCTACCATCACAGAACAGAAGGCCAGCAAAGCATATAGGCAGAAAGTAAAAAGAATTCCTAAACTACATCTGCATCATGAGTAATGTGATCTCCACCACTGTTGGAGGCTCAGACCGAAAGATCCGACATCAAACCCTAACTATCGGCATCTGCACATGGCATCGATTCAATATCGACTTCTCAATTACCTCCACCAGACTATCCCCCTTCCTGTCAGCCGTGATAAAGACAACTATCAGAGCGACCCGAAGCCCAAATCTAAAAGTCATCTTACCGGAAATCTTTAATATAATAGCCGAGGTTTTAACTGCTGCTATTATAAGATTTTTTTAATAGACCTATATAGTATACTCTATAAGAATTTAGGGTAATTAGAAAATAAATAATATTTTGCTTTTAGTATATGAAGGGGCCTGCAGAGATTATATATAATTAAAACTATATTAGCTTATAGTATTAAGCCCCTCTACTTTTAGCTTGCAGATTCTATTATACTCTATAAATACTTTAGTAAATAGAAAAGTTTTAAAAGACTTGCAGTAGAGTATACTAGCTGGTTTAATTTATTTTCTGTTATAGTACTTATAGTACAGTATAAGTTCTTATTGTAAGAGAGGAACAATGGGATTCATTCAAGAACAATAGCCATTCGGCCAACATTACCTGCAGTCCCTATTCATTCCATGAATAGGCCTAACTGCGGACCCATTGGTCCTAGTTGAGTATTTGACTGCCTGAGGCAGGCACTGTAAGGTCGCCACCTTACACTGAGGGCTATAACAATCTTTAGATTTCTAAAGATAATAGAATCCTATTATACTTTAATATACATTTTAAATAAATTATATAACCAGTACTAGCAAAGCTTAGATAAGCTTTTAAAGTAATAGTTACTTTTTTTCGGTTTTTACATTTAAAGTAATCTAGGATTACTTAACAATTATTTAGAATATATACTTCTATACTTTTTTATACTTTGGACTGCTTGGCAAGCAAAAAAAAACAGCGCCAAGTTGGACCTAAAGTGGAAAGGGAAAATTGCTGGATTTCTGCAGCAATCCACTTTGTTAAGTGGTAGCAGCTTTAGCAGTCCAAATCCTCATGGCAAAGGTGGACAAGTCATACGTGCTGAGTACCTATACTGCCACATACATACCATCTCCACGCTATCCTACCCTTCCCATCACTGATGACCTACATCCGTTGCACTGTGCCTATTTACTGTACCCGTTGCCACCCACATGCACAGGCCGAGGGAGAAAGAGCGAGAGTCCCTCTACTCATACCGGAAGTTCAACGTCGCATCCCCCTCCGTGCCCAACGATGGTGGCAGGTCCCCGACGCCCTGGCCCCAAGAACTCTCATTCCTCCCCAGCCAGAGAACCAATTCTCTCCCCTCGGTGAAGAAATCGTGCCCCACGTAGCTTTTCGTGTACGGTTGTCCATCCAACGTCGCCGACTGAATGTATACCGCCTGGTAGCTCGGATCGAAGTCCACCGTGCGCACGCGGGCCGTCTTGCCCGTGAGCGGGGAGGTGATGTTGACGCTTTCAAAGAACGGGGCCGTGATTAGATACACGTTCTGGCCGGGGTTGGGGAACAGGCCCATCATCGTCATGGCCACGAACGAGCCCATGGCACCCGAGTCGTCGTTGCCCGGCAGGCCCGTGGGCGTCGGGTTGAAGAAGGCCGGGATGTAGGTGTGGGCGCGCGCGGTGGATTTGCCCGGCCGGCCGGCATAATGGTACTGGAAGACGGTCAGGAAGGCGGGCTCATTGCCGATGTAGGTGATGCCGCGGTCGTGAAGATAGTCGAGGCGGCGAGTGAAGGCGTCGGGACCGCCGAGGAGGGTAATGAGGGTGGACATGTCGTGGGGGACGAAGCTGCCTCGTGGTTCGTGTTAGTGCTTGTTGAACCGTTGAGGAAAATATTCAAAGCGAGAGTTTGACTAACAATTGATATTCCCAGATGCTGGATTCAAAGGTCTCCGCGGCGTTGTTCTGCAGGGAGCAGGATCGGCCGCTTGTGTCGATGTTAGAACATGTTAATGGGTCCTAAGCCAGGTATTAGTCTGCCATATCGAAAGGCTATTGGCGAATGTTGGTAGCGTGTTGTAGGTATACAAACCTGGTATCCCCATGTGCCGTTCAAGTATTTCGGCTGAAAGAAACCCTTGAAGCCAGTATCCGTGCCGTTGAGAAATGAGGCCTGATCTGCACGGAAGAGGTTCTGCCAATATCTCGCAGTCCTTTCGTACTTTTCCGCATCGCTCGTCTTGCCCATCCCTCGAGCCATTTGTGCGATGGTGAAGTCATTGTAGGCATATTCTAGCGTGCGGGATATACTTCTTGTCAGGGTTCCGAAGCCAATGTAGTCAAAGTCCTCCACGGGGATGTAGTTCAGTGCCTTCCAGCTTTGCAACCCTCCCCGGCCTTCGTTGGACCAATCAAACGGCTCTTCTTCCGCATCTTTCTGCACCGCTGTATACCCGGCTTCCCAGTCAATCCCGTTGCTAATGTTCTTGACATATGCATCTGCAAGCACAACATCTGCATTGGAGCCTCCCTGCGTGTAGCCTGCACATCAATTAGCACCGATTGCGCCTCATCCCATGAATACATACCTTTGCAGAGTGACATGCGACAGTCAGGTAGCCATCCAAGATGTCGTTGCGTATCAATCAGGGAACGAACCATCCGAGTTAACGATGCAGGGTCAAATATTGTCAGGAATGGAAGCTGAGATCGGAAGGAATCCCAAAGGCTGCACACGTTAGAAAAGAAACCTATGCCAAAATGGCATGCTTACCAGTAGAAAGAGTCAAAGTATGGCTCCTCACTTTCCCATAACGGATTCTCTCCGGTGTAATCTTGAGGGTTGACCATAGTCCTGTAGATCCCACTGTAGAAATTGGTCAAAGTAGATGCGTTCACCTCGTTTCTGGATACCCTGATCGGTGCCATCTTCTCTGTCCACTTACCCACGGCTGCCGCACGGGTCTCATCGAAGTCAAAGTCGGGTATTTCAGTCTCTGCATTGTGACAAGCCTGCTCGCTACTGATAAAACTTAGGCCCACGCGGGCTTGGACTGCGATTTCAGATGTTGCCTTGAAGCGTACAAAAGCACCGCCCTAAAACTGGTCATTAGAGTACTCAATAGTAATTGAAGCTACATACCGGCAGAGGGTAGCCATTTATACTGCGCGAGATTGTTAGGTTCTTGACATCACTACTGGCCCGCGCATCTACAAAGATACCAGTGTCTCGAATTTCAGCCGCGCTCTGGTAATCAGCACAGAAGTATGGCACATAAGAGCCACTTCCAAAGCTTGGTAAGAATCGCGCAGAGCCAGTCATGCGTCCTGTCGTGGCATCGACGGAAATAGTCCCATTATCTTGGCGCGTGTCGGACAAGTCCGAAAGATCCAGCAAGATGAGAGGACTCGACGATATATTGGCGTTGGCGGGAAATCGGAAACGGAACAGAGACACATGATGAGTCGTAGTCATATCCACCTGAATCCCAGAGCTCATTGTCAAGCCAAAATATCCCGGACTTGATTTGACGGAAGCGGGGTCATAGGCCGTCTTTCGCTCCTTCTTTGGGTAGACGCAGCCATTGACGTCGTCATTCTGGCACGTTGTATAAGGAAAAAGAGGAAAGTTCCCGAGAGAGGGCTGGCCGCCGGTGCCTGAGTCGTGCAGACTGGAGAAGCCGGTGATACGACTCCCGTCAAACGCAAAGCCCCCTTGATTGTTTTGCGAATCTGTATCGGCTACGGCTTTGGCCATGCCATAGGGAATTGTCGCACCTGCGAAGACGTTTCCTAAATTGATATTATCAGAACTATGCTCCCAAGACAGAGAAGGGCAGGATGGCGGAAATACCTCCATTGGCACTCCCAATGAGAGGATTGATGTATTGCAGGACATCGTAGTCATCAATTGCTGCCGAGGTAGGGTCAGACGAGCCCAGAACGACAGGCAGAGTCAAGAGGAGCGAGATAGAACTCCAAACGGCCATCGTGAGTGCGATAGGAAGAACGAAACGAGGGATAAGGCGCGCGTGTGGGCGAGCTGGAAGCCGAGACGAACAATCGCTCTGGTATGCAGGCGCGGACTGTCAAGGGGCGCGGTGATTGCCCCTGCCACAAAAAGAGCTGGGCGAACATCTTGCCGGTCCAGCATAATGCCCCTGGCAGCCTTGACAGGGTCATGAATGCAATGTAATCATTGTAGCTCCATCGGTCTGATGAGAGTTAATGTGATTGTGCACGGCGAAGTTGCTAGTCACACTTCCCGCAGAGAAGCGCGAATCACCTTGCAGGGGGGGCACCGTTCGAGGTGCCGTTTAAATTCTGACCAGCCATAATAAATTCGAGGGATGTCGTACAATCCATCAAAGGCATTGAGAGGGAATTAATGACGGTAGAATAATAGTACTGGTCGTTGGGGGTGGAACGAATGGAGGGAGAGGCTCATTGTGTACAGTCCAGTACAAGAGCATTGACATGTGGGTTGTACTGGACTGTGCCTGTACTACAGACCAAGCCACGGTCCAGTGACTTTGTGACTGCAAAACAGCTAAACATTTCCATTCACAATCACTACGGTACTTTAGCTACCTCAGCTCCTCCCACGACTCTCATTATCTCAAACTACCATTTCCCCATTCTTTTCAGCTTTCAGCCACGAAAATTCAACAAAAATTCCCGAGAGATGATGAGATTATACTACGATACTTTAACCTCCGAGAGCGATGAGCCTCGGCTCCTGCTGCTGCGCCGCACCAATCAGCAGGGCGGGTGGGCGGAGCTTCTGGAGTGGATTTGGCGGCGGCGGGTCTCTTTTTCTGATCGTGTTCCAGTTCCAGTGCCACTGTCTCGCGGACTCTCGATGGATCCGCAACTCTCACCGCGATAGTCTTCACCAATCCAGTAAATTGGGTTCTTGGTTCGGTCCGAGGGATCCAGTGCGGCTTTCTTTCCCAGACCACCCGCTTCCCCTTTCTCTGTTGCCCCTGCCGCGCTGCTTTTTTGCAGAGTCTCGCCGCCATGCCTCAGGTCCCAACAGTTCGCCTGGGATCCACTACGATCCTCAGCAGTGTCCAACAACCTCTTCGCTCTTTATCTTCTTCTCGTCTGCCTGCCGCAGCTTCAAACCGCGCATCTTTACGAGTTTGTCGCTTCTCCCCGGCTCCGAAACCATCGTGTCGGGCATATTCTTCCACAGGTTCGTCCCGTCCATGCGACCAACATGAAAGAACAGCCGAACTAACCTTATGCATCTCTTTGCGAACCATACAGCCACTCCTCCCCCTCCTCGATCTCGTCTCCGCCGCTTCCTTGGCTTCACGTCACTCGCCGTTTTTGCCTTCATCGCCGGAGGATCCTACCAGACCTTGAAGACCGCCTCGGGCATGATGGACCTCCGACTAAGCACCGACGAGGAGACCCTCTCCGCCTTCATCCCCGGCGATGAATTCACCAAGGAAGTAGACGACTATATTCGCAATCATTCACTGGCCGTCTCGCTGCGCGAGGACCCCGCCTTCACCGAATCTCGCCCACACTTAAAGATGCCAGCACAGATGCGCGCGCGCAGTCTCACGGGCGGAACGCTGGCCGGGCCAGAGATGATCGTCGTGCCGCCGTTGGTTTTCTGCGAGGAGGGCGGGAAGAGCCTGGTATCTCTGCTCTACCTTGGTCCCAGCCTCTGCGGGCATCCCGGAATCGTGCACGGCGGTCTCCTGGCCACCTTGCTGGACGAGGCCATGGGCCGCTGCTGCTTCCCCGCACTGCCGAACCGCGTCGGCGTCACCGCCAACCTGAACCTCGACTACCGCCTTCCCGCAATGGCGGGTAACTACGTCGCGCTGCGAGCAGAGACGGTCAAGGTAGAGGGTCGCAAGGCCTGGGTGGAGGCGCGCATCGAAACTCTACCAGAAGATGGCAAGGAGCCGAAAGTCCTGGTAGAGGCGAAGGCGCTCTTCATTGAGCCTAAGCAGGCTGCGGTAAGTTCGACTTCTCTGGGGCGTGTGCAGGACAGGTGAAAGCTAACGAAACCTCCACAGGCAATGTCCTCTCTATACAACGTCACCGCTTAGACCTTTAGACATCGACACATACTTTCCTTACGTGCGGTTTTTGTCATCCCATGGAAGCATTGGGATCCGGAATCGCCATGATTAGACCGTTCTTCAAGCGTATAGATGATATTTTCAGTTTATATAAATATTTAAAGTTTTCAGAATACTGTGTATGTATTTTACCTGTTTTGCCCGGCACCGTTGCGAACCTACTGGCATATCGGATATTTATTGCTGAACATAACCTGACCGCTATGGTCAGAAGACTTTCAACAATGTCTTGGGCTGCGAACATCGATCTATGGACAGCCTTTCCTGAACGCCTTATTGGCCTAAAAGCAGATTCGACAGAGCCCGCGGCGAGAAGGGAGGATGCGTCTCCGTAGCAAATTCCTGGTTCCAGCAGACGTCGAAGGCAGCAAGTGGAAGACATCGGAATGCAGCGTTGAGCCTTGCCTCGAGCTACACATTCTCGTTGAGCCAGTGAGCAATAAAATGCCCCCCATGCGTCATTGGCCGAAGGAAATGGAATATGACTGATTCCACAGGTAGAAAGCGAGATATCCTTCTTTACTACTTTACAATTGGATTCTATGACAGGCTTAAATACAGGTTTAAGATACAGTACCATAGAGAGGTATGGAACTGGCGACTACTGCACACTGCCAGCAACCTTGGCACCTTCAGGGTCGTGGGCCACTACCTCGATCTCCACGCGCATGTCGTCTTCGCCCAGACGAGTAACCCCAACGCAGGTCCAGAGCGGCTCATGGTCTGGCATATACTCCTTGAAGTTGCGAACCATTGCATCCAATGCTTCGTTATTGATGGGCACATGGTATGAATTGACCCGGTACACCTGGGACCAGCCTTTGCCTCCAGCGTCCTTGAGGCAGAGCTCTACGTTGGAGAAGGCGAGGTCAATCTGAGCATTGATCTCTTTCGCAAACTCTCCTGTCTTGGGATCCCAGCCACCTTCGATCTTCTGGATCAGCAAGAGTGTCTCGTACCTGGAGAAGCAGATTTGAGAATCTTATCCTTACCTTGGCCTGAGCATTCGATACGGTCTCCGATACGGACGGCTTGGCTGTAGCTGAACACCTTCTGTTGGCGCACTCCATGGCCTTCGTATGCGTAGAACTTGAGGTGGGACATGACGATGAACAGCAGTTTCTTAATGTACTGAGCTGAATCGAGAGAATGGAGGACTGTGTCTTGTGAGCAATAAATTTTGCAGTACGTGCTCCAAGTGATTTTTAGAAGAGGGAAGGTTAAATACTGGCCCATGGTTTTTAACTCGCCGCCGAGCCCGGAATATGAATTCCTATCGACATTTATCAACTCGCCCCGTTATCGATTAGCGAATTTCCTCCCTGTCGCTCTCCATCCTTTCAACAGCGGAGTCCCCACTCACCCCAGCATTGCAACCGATTCAAAAGCTCAAGACTAAGTGAGACATATTGAAGAGAATGTCGATGGAAGCAAATCGCCGGCAGCACTGCTCAAGGAAACGATCGACCACGGCCCGATCTCAATATGCGGCACAAGCTTGTCAAGAATGTCGGCGTCGAAGAGCAAAGGTATAGCCTCACAGACAAACCATGCAACATGCAGTGCGGGAGGACGACAGCAAAGTCAGCTCACTGCTCTATAGTGTGATGGTCGCAAGCCTTTGTGTGCTCGGTGTCTGAACCGTGGCTTGGAATGCGTGTTTAACACCCAAGATGACAACCGCGGCACGGCGCCGAAATCGCTAGTGATGCAGCTTCAGGCGCGCATCCAGCAACTCGAGCAGGTGTTATGGCTTCATTCCATTGATATTGACTCGTCTATCGCTCAGCTCAAGGCTGGGCATTTTCCACCGATCTCCTCCTACTCCCAACAACAGTCGAGAGAAGAGGAGACCGATGGAGCACTGTGCGCAAATGGGCATTACGGTTCGAACGACAAGGACGGCGATGAAGAGGAGGTGCGCTTTTTCGGTTCCAGCAGTGGGCGGGTGGAATTACTGCAATCAACTCCTTGTATGTCTTTAATCGAGATCCGTCTGGGTGATGACTGACGAGCATGACCACGCTTCTCTGCTTTTGCTGTTGCAGTGCACAGCAACTCCGAACTAGGCTCTTTACCACGCTCCTCACTTCGCTCGGGCATGAACCGGTTCCTTCAGGACCCTGATTTAGTCCCCCCTATCGCCGAGGAGCTACAAGAACATCTCATTGCACTCTATTTCCAGTGGGAGCAACCGTGGCTTCAGCTTGTGGATGAGCGACTTTTTCGACAGAGCTTGCGCCAGGAGGGGCGATATTGTAGTCCATTGCTGCTTCATTGTATACTTGCTATGGGCGCTCGCTACTCGGAAAGACTGGAGGTGCGCTCCACGCCGGACGACCCGAACACTGCAGGCGAAAGTCTCTTGGAAGTTGCCGAAGTACTGCTGCATTTTGATCTCCGGTCCCCAAGTATCACTACCATCCAGTCTCTTGGTATCATGGCCATATTTTACGTTGTAAGTGATTAGCAGCTCTTCGAGCTATTCTTCGCCCTCTCCGCCTTGTTTGGAAGCTGAAATCTATTGTTTGGTTGAGGCAATCGGGTCTGACTCTAAGGGCTGGCTTCGCCATGGGATGGCCATCCGCTTGGCGCTGGATATGGGACTGAATCTAGATTCTGCGACTCTGGAAAGGACTCATCGATTTCCTGAGGTGGAGATCAAGCTCCGCAGGCAGATATATTGGGCTCTCTACTGTACCGATAAACTTTGGGCAAGCTACACCGGGCGTGTCTGCACCATGTTGGTATGGGGTCTTACTTCTCCTCGCCCTTCGACCCCTTCCGAATTTGCTCACAGGAGTGATTGAGTGTTAGGACTCCCAATCCTCGGTGGAATTGCCCCTGTCAGGAGCTGCGTCGGACAATTCCACGCCCACGCAGATGCTTTCAATGCTTCTCCATTCCCTGTCCACCCACTGCCAGATCCTTGGAAAGATACTTATGAAACTGTCAGTACCTACCTCCCTCCGAGAGAACAACTTTCCGCGCGCCTCTTCCGGGACTGAGGTGCGCAAACTAACGATAATAAAGCTACGCTCCGGAAAAATTGCCGCCTGGTATTCAGAGAACCACATTCTTTGACTCCTGTCTGCTCGAGCTCAAAAGCTGGAAATATCACCTACCCGTGGCGCTACAATGGAAACGGGCAAGTAGTAGGGGCAGTAATAGTCCGATCATGCCGCACATCCTCATACTTCATATGGTTTACAACACGTCAATCATCATCCTTGCCAAGCCGTTCTTGTCCAAGTCGTCGTCGCCGTTCCGCACAGCCGCCGCGGCCTCCGAAAACCGGACGATGCCCGGCATCCCAGTTGCAACGGCAGCCGCTGCAGACATAACGAGGAAAGCGTCGTCCCTGTGCGTGGAGGCTTCCCGAGACATCTGTCTGCTGGGTGAGCATTACCGAAAGATCTTTGGAGGGTTCCGGCAGAGTCCCATCACAGCTATGCACTGTACGTTATCTGCGGCGCTCTTCCTGATTTTAGATGACCATCATCATTATCACGAGGAACCAAGGATTGAACCCGACATAAGAAGCAAGTGGATCAGATCATGCTTATCGACCTTGCGTGAACTCGGGGTTTCATGGACAACAGCCACAAAATACTGGCACGAGCTGCGCTGTCTCCTCAAGGATCGTGATCATCAAGGAATATCGCCCACAAGAGGCTTACGAAACATAGAAGCGATTCCTTCACCGCGTGATAGCCTGACTGCGATCGATTGCGACGACGCCGTAGGAGAGCCTGAGTTCAATACTCCAATCAATATCACTGCAGAAGCGGCGGCCAACGGATCGTCCCAATGGGACCAATGCGCGGGGCAGCAGCAGCCATCCTGTCTGGATATGGACGCGACAGTGCATACCAATCTGACATTCGAGGAACTTTTGTCGGACTTACCCCATGATCTTGGCTTTTTGGCAGCAATGGGTTCGTCTACACCCCCGGACTTGTGGGGATTCTATTAGTAGTAGTAGGGATCATTCCGGGGAGCTCATTCATGGAAATCTATTGAATACTATCAGAGGTTTACGATGTCGTTTTCCCCCTGACTTTTGTTCTTTCTTTTCTTGTCCTACCCTGGTTTTCCGCTAGGGGCAGTAAGATGTTTTCTGATCTTTTTCACATATATACCACTAGCTTGCCGATGGTCTGGTTATCGGCCATACGCTGCATTTGTTCGGGTACTTCTTTGAGCGCCAGTTTGGTGATGCGGGGCATGATTTGGCCGCTTCGAATATATTCCATCACTTCCAATGCCTCACGATGGCCACCCATGAGATTCCCAGCCAGGTACAAGTTTCGCTCAACAACCGAGTGAATTGGAAGTGACATCATGTTGCTGCGTCCTTTGGGTACTCTGCGAAGAGACGAGATGATTTGTGAGCCCTTGAGCAAGCTATTATTTGGGATTCTTGGGAAGGATGGAGAGGTGTCTTACCCAGCGCAGACTATCGTGCCCCCATCACAAACATACTCATCCAGCCGTTGAAAGGAAGAAACCGAGCTGCTCGTGACAATCACCGCCTCAGCAGCACGTGCGACACCACCATTACGACCATGGCCACGGCGGAGTTGCGCACACGCCCGAAGCAGCCTCTCATGGAAGCCTTGCCAGGTCTCACCCTCCTCATAAGACTCCGGCGCTCCGAGCAAAGTGTCGCAGTAATCTTGGTAATCTTGATGTTCTTGAGTCACTGCACGGGTTTTGGCGGCGAGGTCTACGCCGATCACTCGTGCTCGCTGAACCTGCTTCGCCAGCATTCCCGTCAAATGGCCTATCGCCCCCAGAACGCCAACCACGACGACTACATCTCCGGGAGAAATCCTGGCCGCCCGCAGTGACACCAACGCCGTTGATCCCGAGCACAGGGCGCTTGTGTACAGGGCAGGATCAATGCTGCTGCTCCCGTCAAAGAGGTTCTTCGGCAAGGGAACGAGACAGGAGATAGGAATCGTGGCGAAGTGCTGAAAAGTCCCTGAAATCTGGATGGGGACGTTCAGCTGGAAGGGGCATGAGGTTGGTAGACCTCGCAGACAATATGTGCAGGATTGACAGTGCGAGCCTAGATAACGAATACCGTACAGACGGCCCAGCAAGGATGGATCGGAGCAGCTGACGACTCGTCCGATGCCTTCATGGCCCGCGATATGGTGGTGCTTTGATGTAGGCCATTGAGGGCTTACGGAAAAGGTTATATCCTAAAAGGTATTAAACGTCACTTGTGCTCTGGCTGGGGATATTTCAAACCAAAGCAGACCCGAACGGCGAAGGGGATGGATGCATTTTCGAGGTCTGATCATTTGGTCGAACTTACACTGCGGCAGATTCCCGAGTATAGTATGCGAAGAACAACTTCTCCGGGGGCTGGCACGCGGACATCGATCGTTTGAAGGCTCATATTAAGATCCTCTTCTATCTCGGGGGTAACAACGGCTTCTTGGGTTCCGGGCACATCTGGCATGTCTACCGACTCAGTGCCCTTCAAACTAAGCTTCCAATTTGAGCTTGCGCTTTCCGCGTCCACGCATGAACATGATTGGTGTGCAGAGAGACTGTCAACGGCGATGATATTATTGGGTAAGGAATCCATATTGTTGGCGCTGCGAAAACGGGTTTCTGGATGTGTATAGAGGGCGAACGTGTGGGGCTGGGGCTGGGGGGAGGTTAAAAGGTGGTCACGTCTTCGAAGAGCTCCCGCGAAGAACAGAATCAGATCTACATCCTGCAACCTCCAATCAGCCACTACGGCAGAAATGAGTGCAGTTAGCAGGGGGAATATGAATTCCTTTCGACTGGTAAGCATCGTGTTCCGAACGGGCGGAATGTGAATTCCGCCTCGATCCTAGTTCCCCACACTCGTCAACGAGGATAATTGTTATCGATATAAAATGATAAGGAAACCTCTCATCGCCGAGGCACCAGAACACACCTTGTTTGCGGAAGAGATTTGAACGAAGACCACCATGTCAGACCTAAACACCGAATCCTTGTTAGCTCGCTTGACACTGGATGAGAAATTGGCATTGATCGCGGGACAGTCCCAGTGGCGGACCGCAGCCATTGATCGCCTGGATATTCCTTCTCTCAAGGTGAGCGAGTCTGCAAATAGTCAGATCAAAGCATTGAACCATGAATGCTGATACATCAGCTTTTAACCCCAGGTGTCGGATGGACCATCCGGGGCGCGTGGAGAAGTCTTTGGAGAGAACACACCAGCGGCTTTCCTGCCCTGTGGCGTGAGTCTTGGGGCCACATGGGACCCAGACCTTCTACATGAGATTGGACAATTACTGGCAGATGAGGTGAGCCAGTCTCTTTCTGAGGACGATGAGGTCAACCAAAAGTCCAGAACCTAAACCTTGAGAGAAGTGCAAAACAAAATCCGCCTCGGTGCTCCTCGGTCCCACGATTTGTATCCATAGACACCCTCTTGGTGGACGCAACTTTGAGGCATATAGTGAGGATCCCTATCTCACTGGCAAGCTAGCCATTGCCCATGTTCGGGGCATCCAGTCCCGCGGCATTGGGGCCACGCCCAAGCATTTCGTTGGTACGCTTCCCACTACGCAAAGGCTTTGTATGCTTGTATTTTCCAAGTCTAAATACTCAATCGTTTTAGCCAACGATCAGGAAACGAGGCGGTTCAAAATAGACGCCAAGGTCGCTGCCCGTGCTCTGAGGGAGGTTTACCTGCTGCCGTTTCAGATGGTCGTCCGTGATGCCGACCCCTGGTGTATGATGACCGCGTATAACAAGGTCAATGGTCACCATTGTGATGCATCCCGTGAGCTGCTCATTGAAATCGCCCGTGGTGAATGGGACTGGCGCGGGGTCTTTATGAGCGATTGGGGAGGTACCACTTCTACAGTCGCGTCGATCAACAACGGCCTCGACCTTGAGATGCCTGGGCCTCCTACCAAGCGCTCGAGAGATGCCTTGGAGGAGTCCCTTAAACAAGGCATGGTGGACCTGGATCGAGTGACTGAGTCCGCTGGTCGCATCCTGCGTCTTCTCCATCGGACGAACAGGTTTGCTGACCCTAGGGATGACCCAGAGCGATGCGAGGACACGCTGGAGAAGAGGGCCTTGCTTCTTCGCGCTGCCACTGCGGGTATTGTTATGCTGAAGAATAACTCGTCAGCTCTCCCACTCAAACCCGTAGACTCTCTCCGCAAAGTCGGCATATTTGGTCCCAACGCGCAGAGGGTAGTCGCGGGCGGGGGAGGTAGTTCCTACATCAAAGCCCAATATTGGACTTCAGTCTACGACTCAATGAAGCATGAACTTCGTGAAACCCAGACTGAGTTTGTCAGTTTACCAGGAGCCAAAGTCAATCGATACCTTCCCATTTGCGAGGTGGCCAGGGACCCAGACACTGGCATGTCCGGAGCAGCTGTCGACTGGTACAACGGTGTTGGATTTGATGGTGAAATAGTAGTGACTACCCACATGTCAGTTCGATTCTTCTATGCCACCTAAAGTACCTTGCTAACCACGCTTGAATCAGTGACGATTTGTATTTCATGTCTTTCGGAACCGTTCCACCCGAAGTCAAGGATCCTACAGATTTTTCCTTTCGCCTTCGTGCCAAAGTACGGCCACGTACAACCGGCTCCCATTCCATTTCTCTCGCCTCCATTGGCCCTGCAAAGCTTAGTCTTGACGAGTCTCTACTCCTCGAGCAATCTGGGGCCTACGAAGAGAAAGGCAATCTCTTCTTCACATACGGGAGTGAGGAGAAAATTTGCTCCTGGGACTTCGAGGCTGAAAATGACTATGAGCTCCAAATCGACTACCAATGCCATGGTCGCCAGCGTAACCCCAAGCTTTGCCATCTTCTAGACCCAATGGAAGATCAGTTTCAGGGGATCCGGCTCGGCTTCGAGGAAGAAGATCGTCGGGACCGACCTAGTGAGGCCGCCAAACTGGCTGCGGACTGCGTTGCCGCCATCGTGGTTGTGGGCCGTGATAGAGAGTGGGAGACGGAAGGCCAAGACGTGCCGTTCTTCGATCTGCCCGGCGAGCAAGTGCGTCTAATTCGCAGTGTAGCGGCTGTCTGCAAGCGAACCATTGTGGTCGTACAGGCCGGAACACCCGTGAACATGGACCCGTGGATGCAAGACGTGCAGGCTGTGCTCTACACCTGGTATCAGGGCCAGGAGTTGGGCAACGCGGCGGCGGCGGTTCTCTGCGGTCATGTCAACCCCTCTGGTCGACTGCCTGTCACCTTCCCGCGGCGGGTCGAAGACTGTCCTGCCTACTCATCGTTTCCAGGTGAGGCGGACGAGGTCTATTACACCGAGGGCCTATTTGTCGGCTACCGATGGTGGGATCTGCTATCTATCGAACCGTTGTTTCCCATCGGATTTGGCCTCTCATACAACGAGTTCGAGGTGGCGCCGGGCTCGATCAGCACACACACCTTGACAATCGGCTCTTCCGAGTTGATTGTCACTGCGCATGTGACCAACACCGGTGGGAGCGAGTTGCCAGGCCGGGAGACTGTGGTTGCGTGGTTCTCTCCGTGCGAACCAACGAGACTGAGGCGGCCGAAGAAGCAGATCTGTGGCTTCGCCAAATCCCGGCCACTGCTGCCTGGTGAGACGCAGGAGGTCGAGATTCAAATCGACTACCGGTCTTTGGGCATGTTTGACACCAGTAGGAACCGTTGGATCATTGACGCTGCTAGTGAGGTGGAGATTTTGCTGGGAACGACGGCGTCCCACGCGGTGCCTGTGGGACGTGTGACGGCAGGTCAGGAGATGACTTGGAGCTAATAGATTCTGTAGGTGAACAACGAAAGACCTTGTTCGAGTAGCTCAAAGCCAAATTAGAGCGGCCTGAGAATCCTTCGGCACTAGACTGCAGAACAGACAATTATATGCTTGACATAAAACTTCTAAATCCAGTTCTTCCTTGCCATCGTTGTCACTATACTGATCGGGTCCTATACCCAGCAATTTTCGTCTCCAGCAGCAAGCTGCGGATACTGATGCTCGCATTGTTCATCGGCTGTTACACTAAGAACAGTTCTGAATATGGGTTCGGATTAATCTTCTTTTTCTGCATGAAGGAATTCCAAGGCGGGTAAAATCTGTATGAGCATGGCATATATTACATCCGAGTTGGCTGTAAGTGTACCGGAAATCATAGTCCGTGGTTTCGCCTATTCTTCCCTTTTTTCATCAATCCCTTGTTTGTCAGGCTGAAAAGAAGATGACTTATACCTGAGTACGTATGTACTGGACGTAATGTTTAGTGTTAGGGCTAAAGGACTCCACCTGGGGGTGGACACTGCAGTAGATAAGTTAGCACTTGATACTCATACATGGATATGTAAGTATGTTTACTAGATAGGCCTAGATACGTACAGATACGGGGAGATAGGGGCAATCTCCACCGCGGAAGGTGAATTCCGCCCCCTGGTGGTGGGTTTTACCCCGGATCATGTGTACTATACTACTGTAGTACTTCCAGTCTAGCCATATCGTGATACTAATGTATGTACTGTCTCCGTACATGTCTAGTACTTGGAAGTATAAAATGCCCCCATGCAGAAGCCAACCATCCAGATCCTATCAAGGCCTCTCTCTATACTTACCAACATCTACTCACTACACACTACACGCTTCCAGAGAATTGATTCTGCTCGTCTTGCAGTTCCGCTTTCTCTTCTTTTTCTCTTCTACAACTCTTACACGATCTGTATAAGATATAGCCTGCGTTGTTGATCAATACAACTGCAGTGGATTTGGATCATGGAAAAACCGGCCGATTTCAAGCAAGATAGTGATCTTGAGTCAGTAGCACCAGCTGAACTCTCCGAGGGTTCAACCTCTGTGGTCACGTCGAGCTCATTCCAGGACCAACTGAGAGCTGTGGAGGCTAACAAACGTGCGTGCCTAGCCGGTAAGTACCATCCATCACTTCCAACTCTAGATCTCACAGATGTAGTATGGTTGTCTAACTGCCATCGTACCTCAGCATTTGCCTGCTCGACCACCCCAATCTTGATCGGATACGATCTGACGCTGATCGGTTCGGTCATCGCGAACACCGAGTTTGTCCACCATTTTGGCCGCTATGATGAGGCCCAACAAGTCTGGTCACTTCCCGCCAACTATCAACTCGTCTGGAGTATTGTGCAATATGTATCTGCCATGTCTTCTGCTCTGGGCTCCGGCTACCTGAATGACACCCTCGGCCGCCGCGTTGGCTTCTTTACCACTGTTTGGTATGCATGCTCCGCCCTTTCCTTTCCCTGAAGACCATTTTAACCGCAACTAATCATCTCTTCCACCCCATTGTAGTCTTACGATTTCCGGGACATTCGTCGAGCTATTCTCCCCAAACTGGAAGGTGTGGATCGTTGCGAAAGTCTTGATGGGCGCTGCGATGGGGTCCATGCAGGCCAATACTCAAACCTATGTTTCGGAGATCACCCCAACATCTATCCGGGGCCTGGCGCTGTCACTGTTCCAATTCTGGATCATCATCGGTCAGCTGATCGCGACTTGCGTGCTGGAAGGAACCAGTCATGTTGGTGATGCCTGGTCCTGGAAGGGGGCGGTGGTCTCCCAATTTGGCCCGGCCGCTCTCTGCGTCGGGATTTTTGTCCTCTTCGTCCCGGAATCCCCCTACTATCTGGTCTCCAAGGACCGGATGGACGATGCGCGGAAGGCATTGGCCCGGCTGCGCGTCGCGGACCACATCGCTCTCGACGAGGAACTGAGCCACATCCAGGAGACGCTGTTGCACGAACGTCGCGCCCAGCAGAGCGCTTCTTCCGTGCCCATACGCGAGTGCTTCCAGGGCACCAATCTCCGCCGGACCCTGCTCGCCTGCCTGCCGGTCGTCATGCAAATCCTGACGGGCTACCCGCTCTGCAGCAACTACCTGGCGTACTTCCTCTCGCTCTCCGGCTTCAGCAACGCCTTCCTCATCACCCTCATCTCGGTCCTCTGCTCGCTCGTCGCCGCCCTCTTCGCCTTCGTGCTCATTGAACGCGTCGGCCGGCGCCGCCAGATGCTGGCCGGCTGCGCCGGCATGCTGGTATGTCTGCTGGTCGTCTCAGTCCTGGGGTTCGAGGGGCTGGGTCAGGCGTGGAACTACCGCGCGCTGGCCGCCTTCTGCATCATCTGGGCCCTCTTCTACTACGCCTCCGTCGGCGCGGTCGGGTGGGCCATCGTCGGCGAGATCTCCTCCGCGCGCCTGCGCGCCAAGACGACCTCCATCGCCGCACTGTCGAGCAACCTCAGCAACATGGTCTGGTCGATTGCCATCCCCTACCTGGTGAACGCGGACGAGGCCAATCTAGGCGCCAAAGCCGCCTTGCCATTCTTGGGCGCTGGGCTCGTCCTCACAGCCTTGTGCTTCTTCTGTTTGCCGGAGACAAAGGGATTGTCCTTTGCCCGCTTGGATGCGTTGTTTGAGGCGAGGACTCCGGCGCGGAAGTTTTGATGAAACAGAAATGGAATCAAAGACGGGTTGGATGTGGAAAGAACCATTGTACATAGTGTAGGCAGTCTCGTTTGCAACAGCTTTTCACAGTTTTTATAAGGCTTTATTGTATCTTTCCTAATTTGGATGGGCAAAGGAGCCGCGGCGGAGAATCCTAAAAGCCGGCTTTGTCGCATGTTTGGGCGGAGGGAAACAGGGAAGCAGCTCGTCATGCGGCCGTCGCTGTGATTGAAGCCTCTGCTCAATACGAATCCACCTCACCTCTCATCTCATGGTCCTTGTTTCTTACTAACCTGTTGGTAATGTATATGATGACCCAGAAGTGTAGATTGGGTATGCGTCGGGAGGCAACTATCTTTGAAACATTGAAACAAGGAGTTGGCGAAGGCCTTGGTTACTGACTGGCACTACTTCTTAGATCATCGTCTCAGGGGGCTGGCAACTCCAGCTCCAAGTCAACATCGTTGATGGCAGAAACACAGAGCTCAGAAACATATGGATATATGCTTGAGATGAGTCCTTTAACGAGAGCACAATGGCTTCTGGCTAAAGACAGCCCGCTGGAGATCGTCGACATTTCCTGTCAGCCATGGCTTTGTCTTTCAGATCATGACCCAGTACGGGAAATCAGGTTTAGAGATAAAAGGGGCCGAGGTCTCCGGGGATACTAATGTGAAATAACATTACTCGAATTCGCATACTTCGCAAATTTTGGAGCATACACTACGTACAGCCCATACACCATCATGGACGGTTTCAGGGGTCTCCCGCACGAGCTGCTGGCCATAATTGTCAGAAACACAGCGGACTGGATCAGTCTCGAGAGTTCAATTCTGGCCTCGCCGCCGGTGACCGCTCCCTTCGAGCCTGGGGAGTCCCCTGATGCACCCGCCGAATCGGATGCGATCTACCTTGTTAAGGAGGTCCTACAGGCCAATCCGGTTATGAACTCCGGACTGGACCATTACTTCTACATGTGCGCGGCGCTCCGGCGGCGCTCCGTCAATGACAGGAGTCTGGCCGACTTTCTAGCCCGTGACTTCTCGCTCGAAACCACAAGGACGACAATGACCCGTGCCTCGCTGCGGGAGATGGTCGGTGTAGCGGCCAACATCCAGCGCCTGGCCTGCATCTGCCTGACCAGTTTTCTGACGCGGCTGCGAGCCATCTTACCGGAGTACCTTAACAAGGTCGGGCTCTACGCTTGGTTCCCGGATTCCAACGCAAAAGCATCAGTTACTATGCCAAATTATACAACCCGCCTCTCGTCTCGAAGACGCCAGTGGCGTCCCGCGATACTGCCGTGGGGCGCCTCCGGAGCCGCCCAAGCACCTCTCCGGTAATGTACAATGGTGGTGGGGCCAGGACCTTTGAGCGACCCGGGTCAATGATGCGCAAGCAGATATGCGGAGGATCGAATACCGTCATGTGGGTCATTGTCAACGGGAGCGCCCAGCATTGGACGGGCTGGGCATGTCGGTGTGGGGTCTCTGGTGATTGTTCGGCTTGGGACTCTATGACCGCTTGGACAAGGAACGGGAGACCTTTACCACGCCGGATGAGGTCGAACATCGCCGAGAGTGCAAGATTTACTGGCGTTGGGAAACTGATGACTATTTCTATCGAACTCTTCTGGAGATTCATGAGGTGCCGTATGTGGCACGTGTCGCGTGGGCGTAAGGGTTGTGATCTATTCCCCGTGCTCTACTTCACTGTTCATTCCAAGTGATAATTTTGCGCATCTAATTCTGCTAGCCTCTTGGTTGACAGGCGGAACTCATCTTAAAATTCCGGGGCTGGTCGTCTTCTCTCCCAATCTTCAAATTCATTCCAGTTCCCCCCTCCTTCGGTGGACGTAGGAGATTCGACGGTCTCAACCTCCATGAAACAATGCGCTAGAACAAAGCATGTAAATAATATGTATCGCTACGACCTGAAAGGAATAGAACCATCTGCCACTTTGAACTCAGTTATGAAGAAGTAGTGTCGTATAGCTCCTATTGGAAGACCCTGCATTTACCACGAACTAGGTAAATTTGACGTCACCCGTGCCACATCACTGTCGCGGACTACTGTATGTACTAAGATATCCCTTCCTTATCAATCAATCAATCATTCATTCCAGCTAGCATTCACCTGCCCCCAAACCCCCATCAGACCTTCTGCAATCCCTACCCATCTTAATACTTGATTGATATCATATCCAGAGCAACCAAAATGCCAACCCCCACCCCCAAAATCCTCAGCATCGACCCAACCCACCCAGAACCACCAACTCGACATCACCACCACAACGACACCACATCCTCCATCCCAACAAGCCTCCCCGCCGCCAAAGCCACAAAAGCTCATCCCCGCAACCCCGGGGCGGAGAATGCTTCGATCTACTTTGTCGGGAACGCGACCACCATCATGTATGTCCTTCCCTTTCTGTCCTCCTGATGAGAAGGAATTATACGAGGGTAGACCCTGGCTAATCTCAACTAGACAATGGCATGGCATTCGGATTATGACTGATGTACGTGGCCTGCATTCCCGATTGCATGGCTGAGTGATCAGTATTGCGGTGGCTAATGATTTTGGTCGGGGAATAGCCCAACTTTCTGCACGCAGGCGATCACGTCCATCTCGGGCCGGGGGTGACCTCAACCCGGACGAAGGATCCGGCGGTGGATCTGGAGGATCTGCCGCGCGTGGATCTGGTGCTGCTTTCGCATTATCATGAGTATGTATTTTCTTTTGCTTTCTACTTGCTGTACTTGGTTTTATTTGGGGGTTGGGGCTGGAGGGGAAGTCGGACGACTGGTAAGCTGCTGGAACTAGGGTTGTTATGCCCTGTTCAGTAGCAACTGGCTGCGGCCGTTAAGACTAGCAGCTACAGGTTTGTCTAGCACATACGACCATAGGGTGTGGAAAATAGGGCTTCCCGTCCGCTCAGCCGTACTCAAGCCACACGCCGGGAGGTTAGTAGTTGGGTGGGTGACCACCAGCGAATCCCTTCTGTTGTATGTTTTTGTCTTCTTTGGGTCTGTTCTTTGGTGTTTTTTCGCTGCACTTCTTGGCGATCGTTTCTGTTTTGATAGTTGTCGCTTGTCCAAGTCAGCCAGACGGTATGACACTGATACGATGTATGCAGAGACCACTTCGATCGGCATGTAGAGGAGTCCCTCCGCCGGGACCTCCCCATCATCACCACGCCGCACGCGCAATCGATCCTAACCTCCAAGGGTGACGACTCCTTCACCCGGGTCGCATCCGTGGATGTGTACGAGCAAGCGTTGGTCGACATCCGCGGCGACCACCCGCCGGACAAACAGCCCCGGTTGCGGGTGACTGGTATGCCCGGGAGGCATATCCCCCTGGCAAAGCCTCTCGAAAAGCTGAATGAGCTTGTCGGCGCGGTAGGTCTGCATCATCATCTTCAGCCCTCGTCGTCATCCCTTCTTCTCCTTTGTCGCTTTGTCTGTTTGCTTCAGCAAATCATATACTAAGTAAAGCCACCAGATCCCCCCCACGAACGGCTGGATGCTCGAACTCGGCTACAGCAGCAGTAGCACAGCTACCGCCGGCGACTTCACGCCGGGATACCGGATCTACATCTCCGGGGACACCCTGATGTTCGACGAGCTGAAGGAGATCCCGCGGCGATACGAGGGCCAGACGATCGACCTGATGCTGGTGCATCTGGGCGGCACGACGGTGCCGTCGCCCGCCCTGGGCCCGTTAGCAATGATGGTGACGATGGACGCGACGCAGGGGGTCGAGCTGATGCGCTTGATCCGGCCGCAGGTGACGATCCCCATCCATTTCGACGACTATGACGTGTTCGCCAGCCCGTTGGAGGATTTCAAGGCCCAGGTGAAAGAGGCGGGATTCGAGGGGGAGGTGGTCTACTTGGACCGGGGGGATGAGTATCGGTTTCATGTGTAGTGAGAACATCTGGGTGAGGGGAGAAAGCGAATCTCAGTGAAGTAAAAAGCACATCCATAGTACGGAGACTGAGCAGTGGGAAGATGCATGGGCTCGTGTCATTGGCGGGTTGGATTGCCTCCCTTGGCCAGGGTTTCGTCTGTGGAGTGGATCTTATGAGTAAAATCAAGGTCAAGGGGGTCGGATAAAGTACCGTGGACTAGGACTGAGTAAGTTGGCATGACAATAAAACTCTTTTTTTTCGCCATCGAGATGGAGAAGAGGGTGTCTTGGCTGATGATATCGGGGATACGCCCCCACCAATCAACTGGGATACTTTTCACAGTGCAGGGGGGTAAGGTACGAAATGTCGAAATAATCCTCGTAAGTTCGCGCTTTCTTAACCAAACTTTGAATCGGACCCAGGTCGATATTCACCAAGGGTCTGGGCGGAGAGTGGCAGATGCGAAGGAGAGAAGGTGGAGGTGGAGAGTCATCCATGATGTAAGACTTATGGGAAGCTCCAACGGGTGAATCAGACGGTCCAGTCAGCTGCAAACCAGCCAGCCCTGCAGATTCCGTACGTCTCCAGTTTTTATTTTTATTTCCTACCCTGTACATCTTGCAGCGGGATTAAATCCGACACTTCTTATTGCATGACCCTCGCTTCGTGCTTTCCCTCTTTGTTTGCCATCCATCCAAAGGTGGTGGTTTGAAGTATATCCTCGTATCTTATACTTCTCCTCCCTTCCTCCCTTTCAGCCTCGTTGGAAACGATCAGCATCCCCACACGTCATAGTGACACCAATCGCAAAAGTTCCTTTGATCGCGGACTTGTGAATATATGCTAAGAAGTGAATGATAAATGAAACCGGGTCGATCATTCAAGACACGGACCTTTCACGTCAAACTTCTTTATCTTTGAAACGAAACCCAGCGTTTGCTAGGGTGTCACTTCAAACAAATCCAAGTCATCTCTCATCGTGTGCCTCAAACCACATAACACATCATCTCTATCGCAAACCTCAACCACATAACAACATCTCCGACGAAAAAAAAAAACACGATGGCCAATGCAACCTTGAAGAGGGAGCCTGCCGCCTCCGCCAACAAAGTGCCGACCTTGCACACCATCCACAACGTCAAACGCTCCGTGTCCTACTCGCCTGCACAGAACGGCGAGCACGCTGCTGCTGCGAGAGCGGCCGAGTCGACCCGCGGATGCGATCACATGGTCAAGTCCGCGTTGACGGAGTTGCTGAACGACGACGGGGTCAAGTCGAACGCCCGCGGGAGTCGTTCGGTGCAGAACATGCTCATGCAGAACGAGAAGAAACGCAAGTCCCAGCGTCGGCAGTCTTTGCTTGAGCAGGGGAATCATAAGTGAGGGAGTAGGAGGTATGCGGCAGGCTTGATGGCGGCATGATAGGTCAACCAATCTGGACGTGCGTCGCTGCTGCTGTCGCCCTTGTCTACTTTCATTGAATGGGTGGGGACGTTGCGATCTGCTCTGTTGGTGGTGGAGACATGATACCAATCCACTGAAGCTGGGTTCGATTGTATGGAGGCTGGGTAATGGTTTGAAGATCTAAGGATGGTCAGTACATGATGGCCGATTTCAGCACGATACCGAGTATAATCAGCATACGACGGCCGGTGTCGATTCGGATGAACTGCAGCTCTAAAGACGCCGGAGCGGAGTCGCAGAAGCATAGGGAAAGCTGGAGGTTTTGTTGTTTTATTTTTCAGTTCTGAGGTTCCATATGGGCGGCTGCATTGCGTTATGATTCATGAGTATGATAATGATAATGATTAATGAGCTTTGGGTTTCGACTTCATACTTCTCAGTACCTTCAAGTGTTGTGGACTGGTCAGTGGGCCGCGCATTTGCCTAGAGTATGACAGCTTAGATTAGTGCGAACAGGCATATGGCTGGCGGAGTGCTCTGGCTGCGTGCGTCCGGTTTATTAGTAGATATATGTCGAGCAGCTGACACACAAGCCAAGAAAAACACTATTTTTCTAGCAATGTCTGTGTGACTGACAAGGCTTGGTGGTTTGGTGAAACTACTAAGTAACTTAGTTGATATTCCCCGGGTTAAGCCACTCGCACACTCACCGACCGCCTCCGAGTGACTGCCCGACAAGCACTTGGAGCCTCCGCTCCGCAAGCTGCAGCTCCACCTGCCCCCTCTTACTCGTACCTCCAGCTCAACCTCCGTCCCTCTCTTCCTCTCCTCATTTCCTTCCGATCTTATCTGCACACGCCTATCGCATGCGTGGTACCCTCGCAGCTCTCGAAATCCCCCGATAGTCAGCCCCCCGCAACTCCTCGTCCCGTGCTGCTGCCACCATGTCCAAGTCCACCAAGTACCTCCTCGTCTCGCTCCCCACCTCCATCACCCCCTCCCACCACCGCGACGACGCCCTCGATGCCGTCTCTGCCACCGTTGCTCCCGAGAATGGCTCCGTTGCCCCCTTCCCCATCCCAGAGTTCAAGATCGGTACTCTGGATGCCTTAGTGCAGCAGGCCGATGAGTTGGCCAAGCTGGAGGCCGCCTGCCAGGGGGTCGTCGCCAAGGTCGGCGATGCGCTGAAGAATATCTTGGAGGGTGACGAGGCGCAGATCGACAAGATGAAGACCGTGAACGATAGTATGCAGCCCTTCACTCGCCCTACCATGACACTCCCCTTTCGGAGAATTTGCCGGTTAACGCGATGACGCAACCCTTCTGCCTATATAGAGCCGGTGGACCAATATCTACGCACATTCTCCTGGAACAAAGTCAAGTACCGGGCCGACAAACCTCTTGCGGAATTGATCGACTTGCTACAAAAGGTGGGTGGTATCTCTATCTTGCGTCTGGTACAAATGAACTACGCAGGGGACGGCGATTGTTGACGCCCAGAGCAGGAGGCCGCTAGTATCGATAACGACATCCGCACAAAGTATACCCAGTACAACCAGGTGAAGAATACGTTGGCGACGCTTCAGCGGAAGCAGACGTGAGCATGCCCTCTGTCACACCTCTATGGCTACCTTACAGGCCGCGTGCTGACATTGGCGGTAGGGGTAATCTGTCCACTAAATCGCTCGCCTCGGTCGTCGACCCTCGCACCCTGGTCCAGGATTCTGAATACATCGAGACGCACCTCATCGCCGTGCCCGCTCAGCAGGTTAAGGAGTTCCTCAAAACTTATGAGACTGTCGCGCCGATGGTGGTGCCGCGGTCGGCCACGCTCGTGGCCTCGGACAACGACTTCACGCTGTACGCCGTCACGACGTTCAAGAAGCACAGCGTCGAGTTCGTACACAAGTGCCGTGAGAGCAAGTGGATCCCCCGCGACTTCAAGTACGTCGCCGGCGGCAAGGAGGAGGAGCGGAGGGAGGTCGAGCGCGTGGGCGGCGACGAGCGCAAGCTCTGGGGGGAGACGCTCCGGCTGGGCCGGACGGCGTGGAGCGAGGCGGTCATGGTCTGGATCCACGTGCTGGTGCTGCGGGTGTTTGTGGAGACGGTGCTGCGATACGGGCTGCCGTTGGACTTTGTCTGCACTTTGATCCGGGTAAGTTTTCTTATACTGAAAAAGGAGGCAGGGGAACCCAGCAGAGTGCTAATGCAAGACGACAGACCGCGAGCTCGAAACAAGCGGACAAGGCGAAACACAACCTGGATGACAAGTACTCGTATCTGGCGGGCAATGCGTTCGGGCGCGACAAGAAGGGCCGGGTGAAGCGCGACGACCCGAGCGAGATGCACGGCGAGGGAGCCGCGGCGGCCGATTATACGGCATACGTGTATTATGACTTTGAGTTCCAGTGATTGTTTGTTCTACTTTTTTTTTTTCTGTGTTGTGTTTCCTTGTGGATATGTATAGCGTACATAGAGTCGAATGCATGCTTGATTGAGCCTTGCGTGATAGGATTGTCTACTCGACCGTTTTCAATGCCGGTGAAGAAAAAAAATCTATTTGTATATATACAGAATCAAACTCAGCCCCAACCAAATAATTGTTCTGAAGCTTCCCGTCTGCACTCTATGCAGGACCGCAAACATCAACAAGAAATATTCTATATTTCAACCAGAGAATCAACAAATCTAAGCAGACTTAGGAGGCAAATACCCCTTCGAATCGAGATACGCAATGATCTGGCGCACGGCCTCCTGCACAGGGACCTCGTGGTTTTTGATGTGCACCTCGGGGTTCACCGGCGCCTCGTAGGGGGCGCTGATGCCCGTGAACTCCTTGATGACGCCCTCGCGGGCCTTCTTGTAGAGCCCCTTGGGATCGCGCTGCTCGGCCACCTCCACGGGCACATCGACGTACACCTCGACGAAGGGCAAGCCAGTCTCCTCGCCCGGGGTGGGCACCTCATGCAGCTGCCGCGCGGTGTCCCGGTCCTTGCGGTAGGGGCTGATGAACGAGGTGATGGCGATCGAGGCGCTGTCCGCGAACAGCTTGGCCACCTCCGCGATCCGCCGGATGTTCTCGTTCCGGTCCGCCTCGCTGAATCCCAGGTCCTTGTTCAACCCGAACCGGATGTTGTCCCCGTCCAGGCGGTAGGCGTGCACCCCCCGGTCGTGCAGGAGCTGGTGCTCCAGTTCCACGGCCAGAGTCGATTTGCCGGAGGCCGACAGGCCAGTCAGCCAGATTGTGAGGCCTTGCTGTTTGCGCAGGTTGCTGCGTTCGCTGCGCGTGAGGGCGCTGGCGTGGTAGGTGATGTTTCTGGGGGGGGTGCGTTAGTTTGGTTGCTTGTGGTGGGGGATGGGCTTGGGTTGGGTTGAAGGAAGGGGACTTACGTGGCCATTTTGAGGAGGGATTGAGGGTTGAGGGTGGTATGGGATGAAGAGGTTGAGAAGAGGGCGATGTTGGAAGGAGAGGAAATAAAGAGGAGAGAGGGGGAGTCAGAGAAAAAGGGCGAAACCTGGCTAAACTACTCCTACTCACTCACTCATTGGCACGGCGGCGGGGCCGCCGATCGCGGGGTGGATTATGTTGATTTTGCCAAATTGCGTTATCGCTGGGTTGGGCGGTGAGCCATTGCGGGTCTTGTCACTGGCAAACCCGGAATCAGGCTGGCTCAGGCACGCTTCGACTTTTATAAGGTTGGTTACGTATGCTGCCGCGGGCCTGGGCCCCGCTACTGCGTACTGTACAAATCTGTACACGACTCAGGGGACAGTGAAACGGTCGACATGATCCAATTGCTTCTATCGTTGCTTTGCATAGTTTGCATGATTCCTTGTCGAGAATCTATATTTATGTGATGCGTCCTATGGCATGATCTTGTTTATCGTTGCGCTGCCAGCTCGATCACCCGCTTCGCCGCGGCCTCGAACTCGTCGAATGCCTCCAGCGGGAGTCCACTCTCCGCGATCTGCGACACCAGTCGTTAGCAATTAATCTCACACGAGCCGGACACCAAGCATTTACCATTCGTTGGCCCTCTTTCTCGTTTGTCCCCCGCAGCCGCACCACTAAAGGAATGCGAACGTCCAGGTCCTGGAACGCTAGCAGAATCCCCTCCGCGATCATGTCGCACCGCGTCAACCCTCCAAAGATGTTCACAAAGATGGCCTTGACTCGCGCGTCCGACAGGATGATCTGAAACGACGACTTCACCGTGGCCGACGTCGCCTTGCCCCCTGTGTCCAGGAAATTGGCGCAGTGGCCGCCATGCATCGTCAGCGCATCCACCGTGTTCATGGCCAGCCCGGCTCCGTTGACTGTACGGGGTTAGTCGGTTGCCGTGTCGGTTGATGAGAGAGGTCTCTTACCTAGGGTGCCTATACTTCCCTCTCCATCCAATCTGCAATCAAAATCAGCATCATGTTCGGCGTGAAAAGGTGCAAGCACAACTTACTTGACGTAGACGATACCGTCTTTCTCGGCTAGGACCTCTTCCGGTACCTCCTCGGCTGGGTTTCTCAGGTTTTGAACATCTTTCTGGCGTCCGGAACTTCGAAAGGCAGCATCGTCGAAGCCAAACCGTGCTTCGCGCACTTCGAAGGTATCCTTCGCGTTAGCTCGGACTTCTAGAAGGTATGCCTCCTTCTCCGTGAAGATCTGCCAGAGCGCCTGGACGAGCTCGGCCAATTCCTCTTGCGACACGGTGGGAAGCTGCAGGTAGGAGGTGACAGCCTTGATGAGCGGACTTGTGCTCTCGAGATCAGGGGTCTCGTAAGAAAAAGGAAAGCGACCCGTGTGTTCGGGGCTGAAAGCAGCAGTCGATGACGCAAGGATGCATGGAGACAGCGCGGTTCTGTCAACAGTCAAAGTCAGGAAGAAGTCCGCATCCGATGAAGGAGTCTCGTTGACCGCGACGGACTTCGCTCGGAGCATGTCAAGCGCCTGGAACGGTTTCACATAGAGGTTGCGGGCTTGCTGCTGTGGCGCTTTGTGACTGAAATCCAGCGTAGCTCTTCTCATTGTGTGGAAGCCTCTGTGTTGGCTTACGCCCCTGGCGAACTACAATGGTTCAGTATCTTGATGATGTTCTTGCTCCGAACCAAACTCACATTGGCATTATGGGCTAGCCCTCGACTCTTCAGGAGAGCCTTCATACCCTCCCCAAACTTCTCCGGGTGATTCACCATGACCGCACCGGCACTCTCGAGCGCCTGATATTTGGCTTTGGCGTCCGGCTCTCCAGGAGCGGTCCAGGCCCCGGCATGGCCCATCACGCGTCCTGCGGGCGCATGCTGACCTCCGATCAGAGCCATGATGGGTCTATTTGCGGTATCAGCATTTACAAGCTAACGCGGCAGTTCAGATGGCACACATACTTGGGGTTGGCTGTCCTCCGGTAATAATCTCGGATCCAGTCGGCAGCATCCATCTCGGCCGTTCCCCCGATCTCTCCGACTAGGACAATACCCTCCGTCTCGGGGTCACTTTCGAAGGTGCTCAGAGCGTCGACGAAGTTCGTCCCGGCCAGCACATCCCCTCCCATACTTATACAAAGAGTCTGGCCCAGGCCCGCACGGGTCGTAGATGCAGCGGCCTCGTAACTCAGGGTACCCGACTTGGCTACGATACCAATCTTACCCGGCGTGAAGCACGGCAAGGGCTGGAATCCAATGCGGCATTTTCCTGTCACCGAGATGATACCCGGGCAGTTGGCCCCAACTAACCTTGTCTTTGACTGGGTTTTGAGCATCGAGTGAACCTGAACAAACAATTAAGCAGTGGGTCACTTTTCACGAAGAAGAAAGGTCCTTACACGTAGCATATCGTGAATCGGAACATGCTCTGCCACAGCCACCACCAGCGGCACCTCCGCCTCAATGGCCTCCTCAATGGCCGCGGCAGCCGAGCCACCAGGCACGTAAACGGCGGACGCATCCACCCTCACAGTCTTCTGTGCCTATGACTTGACTTAACCCGTCTGCTCCATCACATATAAACCCCTCAGAAGCCAGCAAACCCTTGCTACATACCTCTCTAACGGACCGAAACACCGGAAGACCCAGGTTCTCCCCCCTAGCATTCTGCTTCACGCCTCCAACGACCTTAGTCCCCCAAGTCAGAGATTCTCTCACATTAGCAGTTGACTAGAAACAAAATCAGCCATTCCACTCTCGTCGATTTCGTATCGGCAAACCTAGCACACGATACCTGTTTGCCTATATGACAATGATCAGTCACAACCAGGGTCAGCTATAGAGATAGAGCACGTGACCTACCAGGAAAGCCCTGGAACAACACATGGGTGTGAGCCCCGATCTTGAGATTCGGCAGTGTAGCGGCATAGTTCTCGGTGCTGCGCGCTGAGGTCGTAAACCGGGACCTTGGGCTGAGGGATTGGAGCCGTGAGAGCGTCGTTCGCCGCGCCTGCGCGGGGACGGAGCATAAGCGAGTCATGGGCTTCCAACTTGAGTTGGGTTTCAATGGATAGATTGACTCAAATTCGCGGAATTGAGCCAGCTGGATGCCTATACTCGTGTGGTCTGGAATTTATGATGTTGTAGATATAGTCTTGTATCCCATATGACAAGGTTATGTAGTAATTGACAATCGGCACCGCCAATAATGCGGTGAAGTTATAAGAGAAGAAGCAGCACAACGGGGAAATCGGAAACACTACCTACGCTCCGGGGGACCTCGGGAGGATGTGCGGGCCCTTAAGAATGTTAGGTTTCCACTGTGTTTCTGTGCTATGTGCTAGTTACCTACAGTGCCGATCCCCTCTCGCTGGCTTCACATTGGCGAGTTTCCGAGGCTACTGTGGGGACTTTGGGACAGAAGAAGGCTTTATGATTGGGTTTCTCGGAAGTTGCTGGGCTGGGCTGGGCTGGGCTCGGGCTGGGCTCGGGCATTTGCCTGAGTAGCCGGTCTCGGAACGACGGCCCTTGAGAGGGAGGTTGGCTGATGGAGGATTGACTTGCACGAAGTTATGACTGGTTTTTGGGCAGGTGTAGTGGTAGGGTCTTGTTAGTTTACTTGGAGTTAGGATACTTATATCTATTTAAAAGCTTATGTTGGTGGTTATGCTAAAACTCGTCATGTACGATACATCGATATATTCTGGGTCTGCCATGATCCTAGGATTGAAACTCAGTGCACGTACTCTTCAAGGTACTGTATATTTCCATGATCGATAGACTGAAAAATAGTATGAGACACGATTCGAACTTTCCATATTTTCAGCAGCGGATAACCCACACCCAACTTACAGCCCAGGTTAAATGAGATACGTCGGTGGGATTGGATCTTGAGATGAACATGAATTATGGCAACTGGACAGGAACTTAGCAGGGCAGAAAGGACGAGCGGGGGTGAGATGCGAGTTGCGATGACGTTCATCTCTTCAGAAGACGTATGTGTAACTTCGAACGGTTTACTGTAGTGCTATCCTCTGATGGTCCCATAGAAATTATAGCCCCTTTGGACATGAGCTCAAGGTGACCAAATGAGGAGACGGAGTCACCCTCCCAAGCCTGCACATGCTACCGAGATACAGATACATGTTAGAAGATGAGACCACATCATAAGAAACGAGACTAACGCAAGCTGTAATCCAGCCTAGAGAATCAGACGCAAAGCATCAAAGCGCTCAGAAATCCTTTCTATTCTCTCGACCAAGCTCATGTGTGAGTAAAATAAAATGACATTTCCCAAAAGAACCCCCCCGACTCAGTTTAAGACTCCCTTAATCCTCGTGAATAAAAAAGCTCCGCGCTGAAGTGGGTTCGAAAGGGTCCCCCACACCCGTGCTGAAAAACACCAATTTTGCGCCTGGTTTCTTTTCTTTTTTGAGTACCTCCTTCCAAATGCGACACATCTAAGAAAGAAGGCGCAAAAGGAGAATGTGGATGAAAAGGAAGTATTGGAAGTTGGAAGAAGCATGACTGGCTAAATGTTGTTGTTCGTTGTTGGAAGAAGATGTATGTAAGAAGAGGGAAAAAAAAAACGGCCACATTCATCATTAATTCATCGGGATGAGAAGGAAAGGTTTCTCTATTTAACCACCGATCTGTTCCTGGTGGACTTCAAGGGTGTCTCCATCGGCCATTTCGAGCTGTTGCGGAAGAGGGGAGTGTTAGTCTGGGGTCTTATTTCTTGTGTATGAGGTTTGATTTGAGGTGCGTGTTTGCTGGTGGAGAGCGGGGGAAGACCGCCGCAAACGCTGAGCACCGGCGGTGGCACTAAGGATGATGGTGATGATGATGATGAGGGGAGGAGGGCAGTGTACGTACCGTGTCTGGCGTATCCTCAGGACGCACACGGGTACCATCGAACAGGAAACGGACGGTCGTAGGCTGTTTACCCTGACGCTCACAGAACGCATCCATCAACTTCTTCAGCTGGGTTGACCGCTTGATCTTGAAGAAGACCTCGTTGTTGTTGTCGGTGACTTTGATGTTCAGGTGCTCGACGGGAGCCGGGGCATCACCGCCGGTGGGCGAGGCGTTCGCGTCGGCCATCTTTGCTTGTGGGAGGATGTTGTGATCTGGACGTGGCAAGATAGAATGTCAGCGCTGAGAGGGGTTCCTGTCGCATTTAACTGTGACCTGCTTCCGGGGTTGAAGATGGGACGAGAAGAGATAAGTGTAGGAGGGAGAATTTCTTACTTCTCGTGGTTGCCGAGGTTCTGGAGAGAGATGAGCGTGACGGGGAGAAAGTCAGGATCGTTGAAGAAGTGAGAAGGTGACAGAGGGAGGAGGAAGCGCTGAAGTGAAGAGAAATAGATCGGGGTTGATGGGTTGGCGGCGATGGCAGAAGCAACCCTCCCCCACCGGTGATGACTGACGGAAAATCTATTTTTGCGGCGCAGGTCCAATCGGCCGCAGTAACACCTTGAAGGCCTATAGGCTGTTGCTTGACTGTGCAATAACTACCTGGCGCAGTGAATGACATCGCTTCCCTCTTCACTCCTTCACCAAGGCGTTGGTTTCCCCTTACTTTTGCTTCATTGCTTTGTGCATAGTTGGTTGCAATTGCCTCGATTTGATCTGTTCTGTCTGGTTGTAAATTCCAGCCAGCGTCTGCATTGTACTGCTACTCAATATATATCATTGCGTCATGGTAAGCAAGACCGCAGTGCTCCTTTGGACATCTCTCGTCTCAGCCTTGACCATAGTTGACAAGAGGCCAGGGCGGAATAAGAGAGGATCTAGCATATGATCCCCCCTGCCATCCACGAGCAGTAAGTTTGTCTTTGCGCATCATATGAGAGACATATCCGTTGACACTCTGCAGTGTGCCATTCAAGGTGACTTCACTTGAGCCTTCTCCCAGCGACAAGGTCACTGACTGAGCCCTGTCAGCTTGTCTGACCAAGAACTCATACCAGGAAGAAAAGTGCCAGTCGCAAATTAATGCCCTCTACGAATGCTGCAATTCGTTCTACAAGGAGCAAGGCGAAGAAGCGAAAACCCCGAGCTGTCCCAAGCCCAGTCTCCTGCGACTGAGAATGAAGCAACGAGGTCAGGAATCCTAGCTTGAACGCGAAACTCCTCACCGTGGCTTTGCGCTTTTGTGTAGACGTGTATATATTACCACCCCGAGCTTTGCAAAAATCGAAATGCGCGGCCAAGGACCATTGTCCAGAATACTACTGTAGAGGTGTGCGAAAATTCCGGGTCGAAATTCGAAAGCTGAATGTAGCAATTCCTTTGCAGTCTGAGCTCTCATATAAGTAAGAGCTAGGCTAGTTGTAAGAACTGCAACTCCCTCTAAGACAATCGTGAGCACGCAAAGAGGCCGATTGACCTGGACGAATATTGAAAACTCTCGCCCCGAGACTCTAATGACTGCCTATATGACATTTGTTGAAGAAAAAAAGAAAAAGAAGAAGGGAAGGAAAAAAATCCACGATATTTCAATGCGCGGATGTGGCCGCGCTAGACCTTGTTGGGCTTAGTGGCTGAACGGCCCCAAAACACGGCCAAGCAGAGCAAGAGAGGAAAGAAGGTGCGCAAGTGAGTGAAGTTCCAGTTCTTCCTTAAACCCTGCTTGGGTGCTTAACGCCTATCCTGCGCTACTATCCCCCCCCCATCTCTCCTCCCAATCACGTTCTCAAATACAGGGTCGCATCGAGCGCCACTTTTCAATTCCTTCGTTTGCGCTCATGGCTCCCCTGACCAGCGTGGCTGGCCCGGGCGCCCCGGCCGGCTTTACCTCCATCAATGTAAGTGTTCCTGCAGTTCTGTTGACACGCCCGTCCAGGCGGTGCGCTAAACGTTGCGTTCAATATCCAGCACCATCAACAAGCGCCGAACAATACCGATGTCATCGAGATTGATGATAGTGATGACGAGCTCATGGATGAGGCGGAGGATATCGAAACCAATGACGACGAAGGGGATATGGAAGATGAGGAGGAGGATGACGAGGATGAAGGGGAAGAAGAAGAAGAAGAAGAAGACGACTACGGCGACGAAGAGGACAGTCCGGACAATGACTCCGCTGAGGACTCGAATCGCAGTGAATCGCCCCTGGAACTGAGTCCCCCTCCCACCGAGCAAAGTACGACGGATACAGCCTCTTACAACGGGGAAGTCGCTAATTGTATGTTAGATGGTTTGGCCGCTGCCGCTACCCCGGATCTCTTCACTTCAGCAGGCGCACAAGAAGCTCTACACCCTCTTCGCCGCACGGCGGACCGCGTGACGCGTCAAATCGAAGCCTTCGCCGAGAAGTTGGATCGTTTCAAACAGCAGGGAAACCGGGCTGGTGAGCTCGAGGACTACAAAGCTGCCTACCAGCTCGTGAGAAGCTATCAAGAGCTCGCGCGTGGCACGATTCAGGACATACAAAAAGATCAAACGTTGAAACGCGCGAAGCTGGGGTTTGGCGCCAACCGGGCCAACGGGCAAATGGACACCAAGGCACAAGAAGAAATACAACGACTGCAGCTCGAGGAAAGCACCTGGCAGCTTTTCTGCAACCTCATCACTATCGCCAACCCTCACCGCATAGCCAAATCCAAAGAGAGACAAGCAACCGCTTTCCAGAACCTGCACCGCTACTCATCTGACCGCGAAGTTTGGGAGCAATTCCTCGACTCGGACGCGTACGCGGTGGAGTGTGTGGTGATCCTGAAATGGCTCGAGTACACCGCCAAAAACTCCTCGCAGGATATTGACGATCTGATTTCGGAACTGGAGACACAAGCTCAGCGGGGTCAGGGCTCTTGGTCCTTTGGCTGGCTCTACACGAAGGAAACGATCAAGGGCCACAAGCGACTGCGAGCCTGGCCTCAGCCCCTTGAGCCTAACGATCCCGGAATCACCGCCTCTTTGCTCAAGTCGGAAGACTCAGAACCCTTGGTCACTCAGTTGGACCCCGATGCGATCACGAGACAGAAGCAGAATCTCCAGAAACAGGATCAATACTACGAGCGCGCTACTTGGATGACACTCTGGAAGATGCTCAGACAGGGGGAGAGCTGGTCAAAGATCCGGGAGTGGTCTGCGGAGAGGCTGGAGCCTTGGAGAGCGGTCAGCATCTGTGGTTCCAGTGTTGACGCAGAGACACACAAAGGACGCACCCCCGTGGACGATGGACACACGCGCTTGATGAACTGGCGGTCTCAGGAAACTTGGAGTGCTGCTTGTAGTGCTCTAGCGCGGAACCCAAAGATTGAAGATTATGAGCGGGCTGTCTTCTCGTTACTTTGTGGCGAGACTGAGGCCGCCTTCAAGATCTGTCAAAGCTGGGATGACTTCCTCTACGTCTATTTCAACCGCGCCGTACTCTCCCGTTACCAAGGATTCTGCAAACAGCTTCAGCGGAAGTTGAGTCACTCGCCCACTGCGCAAGTGGCCTACGTTGCTGAGCCGGCAGGCTACGATGAAGTGAAGAAGTTCATCGAGTTCACCCGGGATCACGACCGCGTCGGTTTTGAGGCTCGCAACCCATACCGCACCATCCAGGCGGCCATACTGTGTAGAGGGTATGACAAGTTTTTCTTGTCACTGGCCCAAGCCATCTCTCAGGTTGCGAACAATCCATCGGACGGGTCATCCCTGGTTCCTAAAATGCCACATACGTCCGTGGAGGATAGTCTCCTCATTACTGCGACGGACCGCGATGCCTTACGGATTGCAACTCACTTGCTCATTGTTACCCGACGTCTCGGAATGGTACGGTCGGATACCATGTTCTTTGATAATACGTCCGTCAACCTCATCGGATATATTGCCAACTTGGAGGACGCTGGCCTCGTCGATCTTATCCCTCTATATGACTCTCTTCTACCCACTCATTATAAGCGGATTATCCTGGCGCGCGTCATGATTGAGGTTGTTGACCCGAGAGAACGGAGGCTCCTCGTCCCACTCATGGAAAAACATGGAATTGACGTTGAAGAGATTTTGGAGACCCAGTGGGAGTATATCAGCCACAAGATTTCGGCCATTGACCATTCAAGGACAATGAAGTTTACCTCCAAGGTTATAACACGGAAGGATGGCGACCGCGAACTGGCTATCCCAAGGCACGATGTCATTGGAACGGAGATCTCTGACGTAGATGAACGAGTGATTCGGAGTCTGGAGTGGCTCCGTTTTGTCGACGGACAATGGGGCAGGATCTGTCAGCTTGGATCCCAGGTGTACCGGAGATTCTACAGTACGTCCGTCGTCTCAATATGTCGTCTGTCATGCTAACAACATTGCAGGAACCGGAAACCTGGCCGCTGCGAGAGAGCTGAGCAGACGCATGAACCTTTCCGACATCTCCCGTGAATCCTTTGGGTTCGATTTGGCGGCAAAATTCGCACTTGCTATGGACCCTGACCAGGAGTTTGCTGCCTCTGAGCCCTCAAGTCCCATCAAAAGCATACCGTTCACTTCTCCACATAAACGAAGCCGCTTCAAGACAAACGGCAATCCGGTTCTGGGTGACACAGGCCTCCTGTTACAACAATCGCAAATCATGCGTGATCTGCAAACCCTGATCATGGCGTTCGACGGCCTCGAGAAGTTTTCGCTTGCTCTGGAGAATTTCGACGCGTAAGTCCCGGCGCTTGTTCGTAATGCACCGGAAGCAATGCTCACCAGACAATAGGGCTAGACAAAATCGGGACGCTGGCACCATCAAAGACCTCCGAGAGAAAGTACAGGCTGCATTAGGTCAAGCTAGTGACCCTGTCGACCTGATGCTCAGGGAATGGCTAGTCGGTGCTGAGACGGGTAAGTACCAGCCCTCGCCTACGAATGAAAGATCATCCCCGACTCATCTATCAAACCCCTCACAGAATCCGAGCAAGCAGAGCTGGAAGAAATCCGAAACATGTACATTCCTGAGGTATTCCTCAACTACCACAACGCCCTCTTCTTCTCGGCCCGAATCCTCAACAGCGAGATCCTCGTGCAGTGCATGAACCTCGCGCTCCAGGTCTCAGAGAACGACCTACTGACACAGACCTTCGTGGTCTCGCGTCGTATGCAAGAGCTGGTGGTTGCGCTGGCGCTGTCTAGCAAAGCCATGGTGAACACCCGAGCCAAGCCCGGGGTGAAGTTACCGGGAGGCGAATCGCTGGGGCTTTGGAACGTGGAGACGGTTGAGGGAGATGAGCTCGATGACGGTGCGGCGCAGTGAAACACACCCGGGCTTAGATGTGTACTTACTGTTGTAATATGACACAAGAGATTCACGACGGATCGGCATGATGCATGTATGTACATTAGCCTCCTCTTTGCTTTTATCTTCTCATTTACTCCCTGTCTGTCTCATTCGTCATTGTATGTTTCTGCGACTGAGACGGTACTTGGTTGGCATGTATGCTGGATTGGACTGGGGCTTTGAGAGGCGGTTGGGGAACTCATTATCAGGCGTCTTTGACTAGGGATTCTAATGCAATACGGGTCTTTGAAAGGATGGAATTGGGATCCATCACATACATACAGTACACCTCTTTTTGTCTCAATTACTGATTCACATACCGTATCGGAGTGGCGCATAATTGAGGTCCAAGAGCACATAGTCTAGCCAGCCAGCCGCAGGCTCAGAACACCCCACACAGCCTAGCTAGCACTAGTCACTTACTTCAATTCGATAGTCATGAAGGATCATGGTCGTCTGGACCCAACCCGTCGGAAATCCGGGATTTTGGAGTATCCGGTTGGATGTGGTGATGCAGGTGCGGGCGAATTGTGGCAGTGAAGCGCGCAGACACAAGCCGGGAGGGATTTAGGGTGGCATTAGTCGATTCAAGTTAGCTTGGATGATTGACTTTTCGATATTTGAGAGAACCTCTCCTCTGTTTGGGTGGACTGATAGCTCCTTCTATCATTGGGCTTTCTTTTGCCGGGTTCCGTGCTCAGCTTTGACTACTTCGACTTGTGTCCTGGACAGGGTATACTCCGGACGGATGAGTGTGTATGGGCTGTGTAGAATAACGCGAATTTCCTTGCTTTGGACAGGGGGAGCATATCCACGATTATCAAGGTAACGGTAACGGACCAGCCAATATCATGATGCTTGCTATCTCGATGGGATAAGTCCACTGGAGAGCCGAGGAGCTGAGCTGAAGGATGGGTCTGATGGTTTCCACCCACTCACGCGCGCGCGAGGGCAAAGAGCTGACGACATCGGTCTGTGGCTATGCTTTTTGCGGTGAAGGAATTCCTCCCCTCTCGGGTAGGTACTAGGTAGCTAGGTAGCTAGGTAGCTAGTTCACTTGATGTGATGTGATGTGAGGAAACAGTAGGTGGGTTAGGTGCTATTGTGGTCGGGGGTTGTGTTGTGATACGGTCTGGATGGGTGGTGGTGGTCTCCGTGTGCCTTGTCTTACTTTTGTCTGGGTCTTACGGGGTGGTGGTACTGTACCTGTGCTGTACCGGGGGATTAACCGACTATCGTATGGGGTTGAGTTCAGGGCAAGAGGGTTGTCCATGGGAGAGATGTTATGTCGGAGTGCTCTCTCGACGTGTGTGAGATGATGGATATCAGACGAGACCATAGGATGTTGGTTGGGAGGTTATCAATTGATTGAAGACATCGAATATCATTTTTACACTAGTCATATTGGACAGCTGGTAGTCAATATAGGAGAAAGATAGGGAATTCAGAAATGATAATGGCATGTGTACGTGCTCTTCTCCAGAAGTTTGCATGTGTACTCGTAGGTGTATGTGTATCGGCTGATGTCACGCCGTCGTCGATAGAAACAACACCCAAAGTGAAGCCAGGGCACTTAGTAAATTCTACTCAAGAACCAATCAAGTCCAGAGTGGAAGGGCAAAGGTCACAACCTTAAAGTGTCTACTATGAGTTGCACTAGACTCCTACTAGTGAGATGTCCAGAACCCGAACCCGAAGGTTGCGTAACGACGTGGATGGGTCCCTCCCCTTTGCACCGCCCCCTTCTGCCAAGGTCCGTCTATCCGTATCTGGGCCGATGGCCCTGGAGAACTTGGGACTTGGATTTGCCTTCTTTTGGGTTCGAAGAGAGGAGGGTTGATTTTTGAGGCGCTGTGGGTTGTTTTTGTGGGTGCTGTTGGTCTGGATAAAGTCTCGTTTGCAAGCGGGTGAGGATCGAAGACGTGTTGATGAATTATCGTAGTTGTGCGTGTTGCGTGTTGAAGGGATAAGATGATATATGAGTAGATTGCAGATTGCAGATGGTGCTTCGGGGTCTTCCTCCCCTCGTCCTTTCCCCCGTCTAATAAGTTAGAGGGTGGGTATAGCAATCTTGCAATGGAGGTGGATCCGGTCTCCACCGGTCACAGCATGGCAGGTACGGACGGATGTTACAGTAGTTGCATGGAACGGCATTAAGTAGTGGTCATCACTGACGGATCATTGGTACAGTGGATTGATTGTAGTGTGTAGTATGAGTAGGTTGGTTTTAACTAGTCATCTGTATTCTTCCGTCTTGAGTACGTACTCGTAGCGAAGGAATGATTCTTATACTTTGGATCTAGAGGTGGGACCCTCCCTTTCTGGGTCCGGTCCTGGCTTCGGTTGGCTGGGGGGAGGAGATAATCAGTGGCCGGGTTCGTTCTCCAGCATGGCATGGAAACTTATGCTGCAGGACGCACGGAAGTCGTTGACGGAGTCGGAGCGAGGAGTGTTGGATGTAGTTCAGCTATATGATCACTTTGGCAGTAGTGAGCTAGATAGAGTGCCTGAGACAGGCGAGATCGCTCTATCTTGCCTAATGCGAGGTGGCAACCCTAGCGGTGATGCTACTGAGTGTTATGATAGGATGGATTGGAGCGGGTTGAGCTGGCTGGTGACCTGCTGGACGACTCATCCAGCATTGACAGTGCTAGACTAGCTAGACCAGTGTAGAGAGGTACGTAAATGTACTCCGCTCGATGGACGTTTATCATGGAGCATGATTCCGTGGTTTCGGATGAATGCTGAACTAATACTACCTTTTACTACACATCAAGAAGCATATGTGATAATGAGGTTAACCTCACTGGTAACGGGCACATGGACCACAGCAGACACACATCATTGAACAAATAATTTTAAATCGATTAAGCAAAATGTAAGTCGAAGTTCTAGAAACCGACCCAGCCATGATCATAGCATGAGATAATCAATCCGAAAGGACGAAAAGGGAAAAAAAGGGGAGACAGAAGAGGAAAAAAAAAAAAAACTTCGATGACGGGAGGAGGTCGAGTGAGGCAGTGCAAACTGGAACCGACGAGTGAGGTTACAGCTCGGCCGGGGTGGGAGCTTCTGCAACAATCGTTAGTTACCTTAGTAGCCCAAGCGCGTCAACCTGGGTACTGAAGGAGTGGCAAGAAGGCGTGATTGGGACTCTCGTGGTTCCAGCTGATAACATGCTGCTGCTCCCATCATTTTACTGTGCGATGCTGTTGATGCTCACTATAAGATATCTAGTATCTTCATCGAGATTGTATACTTCCCTTGCGACTGATGGTATCTGCAAACAAGAAGATGACCGGACCGTTTCATGGATGAGCCTTGAAATCTGGACCAATCCGTGGACCTTCTGGTGGGGCTGACGGCGACTCACTTTCCTTGTCGAAGCTGGGATTGGCTGTGGGGACAACAAGTGCAGGGTTCTTTTGAGCCTTTCCGAGCACTAGTGGTAATGGGTCTGGTAACTTAATCTAAATTACAAGACGCATAACACCCACCAACCGACCAAGCCAAGCTGGCTGAACTCCTCCTGCTGCTGCTCTGCTGCTGCTCCTTCCTCATCCCCCCCGACCAGAAAGAAAGTAAAGACGTAATTGACCGAGGGACTGGATCGATCCCCTTCTAATTCCACCTTCACCCTCTCTCTCTTTCTTCGTCCCTCTTTTCCATTTCTGCCAGCAGGTGCCTTTGTTCGCCCTGTTTATACCCAATCCTAATTATCCCATCATTTGTTCATTTCCTGTTCGCGCTATCTCTCTCTTCAATCCCTCCTCATTCCCCCTTCATCCCGTTTTTTTTTTTTTTTTTTTTTTTTTTTTTTCCCCCCTCCCCCCCCCCCTTTTCCCCCCCCCCCCCCCCCTACCCCGGTGTGCCCGCGGAGCTACCTGGTGTTGATCCCAGCCCACCCATCTCTTCAGACTCCAGACCAGACCGTATCGAATTCGAGCCTGGACTAAGCAGTGATATAACGACGCTTTTGACTTAGTCCCACTGGTTACCAGCAAGTTGTCACGGCCTGGGCGTTGAATTCGTCGTTTTAGAATCTTCCCGCTCGAATGCGCTCCTGATACACATTACGGGGTCCGGCTCTCTGCTCCTGACAATTTGGTCAACCTCCGGCACTCACGGCCCTCTTTCGCCTCTTTCCCTTTGCCCTCCGCCCCATCAATCGCTTACTCGACTATCATCTCGGGCGCGCCTACAGTCGGTGACTTTGAATCATTGCTGGTTTGGTAAACGCGGACGTTGATACCTGACGGGACCAGACTTGCGGCTACAGCGCGACAATCGGTAGACTTCGTTTCACTTAGACCACATGGGATCTCCTATACGACCGTTGGATCCCATGAAATACTCTTGAGCTTAATTGTCTCATTTTGCGCCGTGGAATGAGATTCGTCCCTTGAATGCCTGGCATCGGAAATACATGATACCGCAGCACTCGACCCGGATCGCATTCCACCCAACACTAATCGATTATCCCCTGCCCATTCTTGCCTTGTTCTTTACACTTCCAAGACCCACTCTGTCCTCGGTCGCATCCTCCCCTGGACGACCATGCCAGACTCCGGACCCGATGGCCAAGATCCCAGGCAGTCGGGGTCGACTCCCCTGCGCCGGGAGCGGGCCCCGACAATCACCATTGACACATCGGCCGTGACCTCCCCCTCAAACGAACAGATTCGGCCGCCAGTGCAAATCTTGCCCATCCCTCCGCAACCTTCGCTCCAGATCTCAACCGACAATGTCGATGCGCATGACACCAGTGCCCTCCTGAACAACGGCGGAGTCTCGCCTACCTCCCTTCGCTCGGCTGCCTCCTCCGAAGCTAGAGACTACGAAAGTCGACCGACGTCGCCGCATAACTTCTCTTCTCCTGCGTCCAAGATGGCCGATTCCATGTCCAACTCGAACTATCTGGCTGTACCGGGAACAAGATCTCGTGGGAATTCGTTGGAGTCGCAGGACTCGAATCAATCGTCCAGCTCGTACGGAGGAGATACATACGCACCGACCGCATCGCATGGGTCCAACACCGACTTGACGCAGAACACGATTGTGAACGACGAGGATGCCCTGAAGCCCGACCCAGGCCGGGAAGCCGAGTTCGAAGTGGAAGACAACAAATTCGCCTTCTCGCCTGGCCAGTTGAACAAGCTTTTGAATCCGAAGAGCCTAGGAGCCCTGCATGCTCTTGGCGGGCTTCGTGGAATTGAGAAAGGCCTGCGCACCGACGCTCGCAGTGGCTTAAGCTTAGACGAGAACGAACTGGACGGTGCTGTGAGCTTTGAAGATGCCACGGCTTCGCAGACGACCCAGGCCACGCCCAAATCCTCTTCTCCCTCGCCTCAGCATCACACATCAGAAGGTTCGAACGCCGCGAAACCTTCCGACGGGTCGTTTACGGACCGGATCCGCATCTATGGGACGAATAAACTCCCGGAAAGGAAGGCCAAAAGTTTCTGGGAGTTGGCCTGGATCGCATATAACGACAAGGTGCTAATCTTGCTGACGATAGCTGCCATCATATCCCTTGCTCTGGGCATCTACCAATCTGTGACAGCCACCGGCAAAGAGGCCCGAGTGCAATGGGTAGAAGGTGTCGCAATCATTGTGGCTATTCTGATTGTCGTTATTGTGGGAGCTGCCAATGACTGGCAAAAAGAACGTCAGTTCGTCAAGCTGAATAAGAAGAAGGATGACCGTCTAGTCAAGGTGATTCGCTCCGGAAAGACCTCAGAGATCTCGGTTCATGATGTCCTCGTCGGCGATGTCATGCATCTAGAACCCGGTGACATGATTCCGGTAGACGGGATCTTCATCGAAGGCCACAATGTCAAATGCGACGAGTCCTCCGCTACCGGCGAGTCAGATGTTCTTCGGAAAATGTCTGCCGACGATGTATACCGCGCCATCGAGCAACACGACAACGTCTCAAAACATGACCCGTTCATCGTTTCCGGTGCAAAGGTTTCCGAAGGTGTGGGAACATTCCTGGTTACTGCGGTTGGTGTCAATTCGACCTACGGAAAGACAATGATGTCGCTTCAAGACGAGGGCCAAACGACTCCACTGCAGTCCAAGTTGAATGTACTCGCCGAGTACATTGCGAAGCTTGGTCTCGCCTCTGGTTTGCTCCTATTCGTTGTTCTGTTCATCAAATTCCTCGCACAGTTGAAAGACATGGGAGGTGCCTCCGAAAAGGGTCAGGCTTTCCTGCAGATCTTCATTGTTGCTGTGACTGTGATTGTTGTTGCTGTTCCGGAAGGTTTGCCGCTCGCGGTCACTCTTGCGCTGGCCTTCGCTACGACTCGAATGCTCAAGGATAACAATCTCGTACGATTGCTGAGAGCATGTGAAACCATGGGGAACGCGACCACTATCTGCTCCGATAAGACCGGTACCTTGACAGAAAATAAGATGACTGCTGTCGCTGCCACTCTGGGTAAGAATCTCCGCTTTGGAGACAAATCCTCAGGACCGGCCCTCCGTGCGGACGATGACCGAGGCCGGGACCCGGTAACCACCGTCTCTCCCTCAGAATTCTCTTCCAGCCTTTCCGGCCCAGCCAAGGACCTGCTGATCAAATCAATTGCGATCAACTCGACCGCATTCGAAGGAGAGCAGGATGGTACCGCAACCTTCGTCGGCTCTAAGACTGAGACAGCACTCTTGGGATTCGCTCGGACGTACCTAGGAATGGGCTCAGTTAGCGAAGCACGTGACAACGCGACTCTTGTGCAAATGGTGCCTTTCGATTCTGGACGTAAGTGCATGGCCGTGGTCATCAAGATGGATAATGGGAAGTATCGGATGTTGGTCAAGGGTGCATCGGAAATTCTGGTGGCTCGTGCGACCAAAATTGTCAGTGATGCGAGGAAAGATCTTACCGAAGTGTCCATGTCAGATGAGGACCGGTCTGTTATGGACAAACTCATTGATCACTACGCCTCTCATTCATTGCGGACTATTGGGTTGGTTTATCGTGATTTCGACCAGTGGCCTCCGCGGGGTGCAGCCACCCAGGAAGAAGATCGCTCACTCGCTGTCTTTGATTCAGTCTTCAAGGATATGGTCATATTAGGTGTCTTCGGTATCCAGGACCCGTTGCGCCCAGGTGTAACAGAATCGGTGCACCAATGCCAACGCGCGGGCGTTTTCGTGCGGATGGTGACTGGTGACAACATCACAACTGCGAAGGCTATCGCTCAGGAGTGCGGTATCTTCACGCCAGGAGGAATCGCCATCGAGGGGCCTAAATTTCGCCAATTGAGCAGTCGACAGATGACCCAGATCATTCCTCGCTTGCAAGTCCTAGCCCGGTCGAGTCCTGATGACAAGAAGATCTTGGTGGCTCAGCTTAAAAAGCTTGGTGAAACTGTTGCTGTGACCGGTGATGGTACCAATGATGCACAGGCTCTTAAGACCGCCGATGTTGGTTTCTCCATGGGAATTTCCGGCACTGAGGTTGCGAAGGAAGCTTCCGATATCATTCTGATGGACGACAATTTCACATCCATCATCAAGGCTATGGCTTGGGGTAGGACTGTCAACGATGCTGTCAAAAAGTTCTTGCAGGTACAGTATCCCCTTGGTTCGAGGTTAAATAATAGCAGAAAGAAGCTAATCGTCACTAGTTTCAACTTACTGTTAACGTGACAGCGGTCCTCCTTACCTTCATCTCTGCTGTCGCAAGCGGTGACGAAGAGTCGGTCTTGACCGCGGTGCAGCTTCTCTGGGTCAATCTTATTATGGACACTTTCGCTGCTCTCGCTCTGGCAACGGATCCGCCGTCTCCTCATGTACTCGACCGCAGACCCGAGCCAAAGTCCGCGCCTCTCATCACTCCAACCATGTGGAAGATGATCATTGGACAGAGTATCTATCAATTGGTCGTCACCCTTGTCTTGAACTTCTCCGGGAATTCGATCTTCCATTACCATTCAGAGAAGGACACTTCGCACATGCAAACGGTCGTATTCAACACGTTTGTCTGGATGCAGATCTTCAACCAGTGGAACTCTCGTCGACTCGATAACAATCTTAATATCTTTGAAGGGATGTTGAAAAACGCGTGGTTCATTGGAATTCAGTTGATTATCATCGGAGGACAGATTCTCATTATCTTCGTTGGTGGTCAAGCATTCTCGGTTGTGCGGCTCAATGGGCCTCAATGGGGCGTGTCTCTGGTCTTGGGAGTCATCTCCCTTCCAGTAGGTGTGATCATCCGCTTGATACCAGATGCTCTCATTGCCAGGCTTATCCCTACCTTTTGGCACCGCAAGAAGGGACCTGAGCTTTGGGTCTCTGACGAGGACCGCCGCTTTGAGTGGAATCCTGCTCTAGAGGAGATCCGGGACCAGTTGAAGTTCCTTAAGACTGTTCGCGGAGGCCGTCTCCGGCACTTGAAGCACAAGCTGCAACACCCCGAAGAACTTCTCCCCAGATCACGAAGCGGATCACGGTCTTCCAGATCTCGGGAGAACTCGATCCCTGGAACACCTGTGGAGAACAATAGTGATAGCACTCCGCCCATGCCAGCGACTCCGGAATCACGATCCAGACGACGCACACGGTCTCGCTCCAATTCAGCATTCGGGCCGGCGGCTGCTATGGCTGGTGTTGTGGCAGGTAGTATTGCAGGCTGGTCTCCAATCGAACGAACGCAGGGAGATGGCGAGCCTTTCAGGATTCAGGCCGACAGCCCTCACGGAGGCTTAGATAAGCAGCAGGGCATCGAGATTCATCCGGACACTGCTGCGGATGACCAAATCGTGGGAAACTTCAAGGGCGCCTCAAAGACACCTCCGAGCCAGAACCCTGATCTTTTACCCCATTTTGATCATGTGCCGCCTGAGCGTGCGCCATCCAGCCGCAGCCGACGATCTACGTCGCGTCAGTCTCAGTCCAGTCAAAGCCATGTCTGAGCGTCCCACGCTATATCACCTGTGCAATACTAGATTCTGCTGTCCTATTTCGCTGCAATGATTCCACGCTCGGTTTACTCTCGTCTGTGTATACTTATCTCCTCCTCAAACCCTATTTCCGTTCGAAATTCGTTGTCTTGCCCACGCCGAACTTTGCTGCGCCAGTCTTGGAACTTATTTTGCGTAATTTTGCAGAGGTTCCTCTAGCCTTGCTTTACCTGTTTGTGTCATAGCATCGTTGTCTTCACAATACCAATCATATCCCAGGGAAAGGTGTCTCGGTCTCGGCGTACGTGGCTTTCATAGGGGGATTGGCTGTTTTTACTTTTTTTTTTTTCACTTCGCTTGTTTGTTTGTTAGACACTCCTTCCTCTCGCATTAGGATGGGCGGCGACCTGAGCGACAAAAAGGGCAAGATTTATTTCAATTGGGTCTGTGTTTTTATTTTTTAAAAGACAGCTTAGCTTAGCTTACTTTGTACATAGTGTATTTTTGCTGCTCACTGATAGGCCTATATGCCCTGCTTGATCTTTGTTGCTTGCAAGCAGGGCGAGGGAGAATCCAATGGATGATCTACCACAATTCTCATGGTTTTCATGTTGAAATCACAATCGCTATATTTAGGCCATCATTCGTATGTCTTTGTAGGGTTTTCGACACCAAAATCTATGCACACCGGAATCGACAGAAAGATATAAACTTGCTTACATAGCAGCACCCCAGCCAGCATCCACCAATCCACCGCCATCTAAGTATCTCACATCTCACTAGGTGGTTAGCGACCAATGAACCTGATCTCCAGCAGTCTCAAGGGCGGGAAAGCCAGGGCGGTAAAGCCCATCCCCAGCCAAATCCCCAAATCGCATCCCTCCGCAATCGCTGCCGCCACCGGACCGGTGAAATAAGCTTGATCCTAATCGTATTATCAGCGAATATCCCAATTTACATGGACTGCGGAGAGAGTGTGAGATACCATGCCAACAATCGCTCCTATCCACCCGACGAGAAAAGCAATGCTGGCCGCAATGCCCACGGGAAGTCTTAATCGATCGTTCCACGCGTCCCAGTCATAGCCCCGGCCGCGATTGAAGAGGAGGTCTTCTTGCACCACGATCGTGAACCAGATAATCGCCCAGTATCCGATCAGCGGCATCACGCTCCGGAAGATGTCGTACAGAGAATCACGACCGCCGATGGCACACGAGGCGTACACCAACGTGCTGGCGGTGGTGTAGACGGGGCGTGGGAATTTGCGCCAGACGTTTCCCAGCATCTGAAAATTCATCCCCGTCGAGTACGAAGCCGGCGCGTTGTTCGAGACAATCGTCAGGACGTTGACCACGGCGCACAGTCTCCCCATGGGACCCAGTCGATCGTACCCGGCCATTAGTAGGCTTCCCGGGGTCCCGTCGTAGATCGACCTCCACCGGGCACTGTGTGCCACCCCACTGCCCAGACCCGCACCCAGAAGCAGGGTCACCGTGAACGCGAGGCTGGCGCCAATGGTCGTGACCGTCCAGATCTTCCACCGCTTGATATCGGGCGAGTAATACACGTGATAGTCGGCCGCGACCGGCACCCATGACAGAGGTATCGATAGACAGAGCGAGAAGAACGCCAGCCGTTTCGCGTTGATCTGCGTGGTTGTGCCCACCGACGGGCTTTCGAAGTCGAACTGAGGGCCGGCGGACCCGGTGAGGAGCGAAAAGACGATCAGCTGTGGGAACCATGCATACCTTGGGGAGGTTCCGATGTCAGTTCTCGGGGCTCTCCGGAATGTCATGGATGGTCGATCCTCATACCTCTCATAGTATTGGAAGATCTGCATCCCGAATGTGGCCATCGTCCAGCTCGCCAATGCCACGATCACGATTCCAACGATCACCGAGAGACCTCCGCCCGATAGCCTGGACAGTAGCTGGCCGCCTACCGTCGCGCTCATCATCCCGGTGCCCAGGCATGAGAGCACGTTCAATACGCAGCATACTTTGGTGGGGTAGTAGCCCATGAAGAACCGGGACACGATCTAGGAGGAAGAGGAGCCGTCAGTTATCTGGGTTGATGGCTGGGGAGGTTTTTCAAACAGGGCAGTATCCAAATGTTTCTGATGTCGCCCATGGGGTAAATTATACCAGTGTGCGATTCCCACTTTGCGGACCCCAGGTACTCATATATCCAATCGCCAGACTCCCGAGGAGGGTGCTGAATATCACACACAGCGCACAATCGGTGAAGCTCAACTTCATGACCAGCGTTCCTAGCGATCCGGTGATCGTGTTATTCATGGCCATCCCCATGCTCAGCCACGTAAGGAACATCTCGAACGATGTAAACTTGGTGTTCTTCATTCGGTCTTCCAGCGGTATCGGCTCGATGCCGCGGGTCTCCAGCCCTTTGATGCTCCTCGTCCATCGTTGATATTTCGACTCGCGTTTATCCGGGAGGGGTCTTTCGGCTCCGGACTCTTCATGTGTCACTGTCACACTCGTCTGCAGAGAGGAACATGCTCCCTGCTTTTCGATCTCGGGTTCCATTGAGGTGGGCTCGGGGGAATTGCTTCTCTGGTGCGAAGGGGATGCCGTCTTCGTGCAGCTTTCCTTTTCGCTTTCTTTTTTCCCGCAACAATAAGCCGGGTACAAGTACAACCAGGAACCAACCCCAGTATATATGTGATCCTCGGAGACAAATCACAATCAGAAGCAGGATCAACGGCAGACACAGCAGGCGGGTGCAACTTCACCTCTTTTTTTTTCCCGGGCAGGTTACTAGACTGACATCACCCTTTGTCCTTGGTCGTGCAACCACGTCCGCGCTACTTTCTCTATCGACATTCCACAACCCTCCCGCTAGCTAGGGCCCTGTCTTTGCCCTCCTTAGTCTCACCAGAGGTTGCGTTACACCGCTCACCCTCCCCCCCCCCCCCCCCCCAGCTCTATGCTCTTCAGGAGGACGAAGGGGTTAGGTATCCATGAGAGCATCAAAGAAGAATCAAACCCCAGAGAAAGGGACCCTCTGAGCCCCTTTCTACGCATTGCCATTGCGTGCAAATGTCACCATCCTCTTTCTTGCTTTCTGATCTCATAGGTCGAAAGTGGTGTGGTTTTCCGTAACGGAGAAAGTCATGTGGCTGGAGGCGGACCACATACCATTGTTGATATTGCCATTTTAAGCTCTACTACACATTCCAGAGGAATGCTCCAACCATGTAAGGGGAAGGGACCATTACACCGTGATCCAGGAAAAGCAACAAACCTGTTTGCTTTTTTGGGGGAGGGGATGTTTTCACTATCGCGTGGAAGATCATCGATTTGGCCAATCGTGGGGTAACAGCAGACGGAAAGGTGGGCTTTTTTGTCGCTTGATCATGAAACGCAAATCGGGAGGTATGGAAGGTGAGCTCATGATTCTCTCTCTCTCTCTTTCTCAAAGTCTCACATGGGCCCTTTGACGTATTTCTCCGAGTATCGCCTACATTCAAACGGTTGGCTGACCGCGTGAGGCCAGCTGGGGGACCTCGGATATGTATGCCGCGTCAGGCTGAACAACCTGTACATACTGATGTGGACTCGCCAAGCCCTGTCTGTACTGTGAGTAAATGTTCCGAGGATGCATCCTCGGTCTGAAGGATTTGTATCCTTGCTTTTCAATTTCTAGCCGGGTGCTTTCTCGACCATTGTTCTTGGAAAGGTCGACCTCTCAATAGTCTGCCCTGAGCTCAAAATTCAACCTCGTCATTTGTCATGCTCTATTGTATTTGTCCACCTGAAGCAGGGGCTCTATATGTTCTAAGCTCCTGTTTCAGTTGTACAATGCTAGTAGTCGAGATGAGCTACTCTATGTCGGTGCAGCGCACATCAGCATCGTCCATGCATCAGGTTTCTTTCAGGCCGATAAGGAAGGCCGTCTGTGGCTCAACGCTTGGACTGTTATGATAGCTTCGCTTCAAGACAAAGTAGCTTGCTTTCGCCGGATGGGAGGGATATATGGAGGCAATTGGAGTATCTAACCACGACGCAGGTGGAGGATTCGCAGTATGAAGAAAGCTCACCGCCTTGATCTGGCGGCAGATGCGGAGACTGAAGATGCAGCCCCAGGCCCCCAGGGCAGCCACTCACCTGCCTACAATTACTCTTCCCCCAGACCCGTGACCCGGAATATCCATGGAACTCCCATCGGTACTTATCCGCCACGGTACCCGCTAATCTATCTTCCCCCGGAGCCTGTGCGGAGTCCCCACAAGTTTATCATAGACTTCCATAACATTTCCATAAATACCAGTGCACGAAGCCTCTGTCAAGTGTCATCGAGCAGAGACACAAAATCCACCACTAATAGCCAATGGCGAACGTCACGGAGCACTTTCCCGAGCGGAGGGGGCCGTCGCTGTTCTCTTCACGCGCCTCGTCCCATCCTTATATGACATACTTCATTCTCGCCATAACTTCGTATGTCACTTTGGTGAACCTTCTACGGTTCCGCTTGGTGAAATGGGTGCACAAGAGATACAACTATCCTACGCGCGAGTCCTTCGCTCGAATGACTGACGATGACGCATGGGCGATTCAGAAGACCATGCTAGAGCAGGAGTTTCCTTTCTTTTACCTGAAGTCCCTCCAGTTCGCACTATTCCGCGTTAGTGTCCTTTTTGTTTTCGGTATTCTATGCCATCTCAGATCACTGACGGCGATCCAGACTTACGGCGTCCCAACCATCTCCAAACTTCTCGCAGGAACGGCGCAGTTCTCGAAACCGGAGACATCCCTCAAGCGCTACGCTGATACCGTTGTCTTGGTCCAGGAGTTTATGGGCAATGCGCCCTCGTCGCAACGTGCTCGTCTCGCCATTGCGCGCACCCGCTGGATTCACAGTGGGTATCGTGCCTCGGGCAAGATCCTCTCGGATGACATGCTGTACACGCTAGCGCTTTTCGCCGTGCAGCCCGTCCGATTCCTGGACAAGTACGAATGGCGAAGCGCGACGGACGTAGAGAGATGTGCCATTGGGACCTTCTGGAAGAGCGTTGGCGATAATCTTAATATCAGCTACGATGCCCTGCCATCCGGCAAGACGGGGTTCAAGGACGGCCTGCATTGGTTGGAGGAGGCAATGGCCTGGGCTGATGCCTACGAAGCGAAGTGCATGGTACCCCATGTCAAGAACCGAGAAACGGCCGACCAGACCACGGAGGTGCTGCTGTATATGGTCCCGGAGGCGTTCAAGCATCTTGGCTTGAAGTTTGTGTCTTACATGATGGACGATCGTCTGCGACGAGCTATGATGTGGGTTTTCAATTTCGCCCCCCAGGGGTGCCCTTGTGCTACCTCAAGACTCGCGACATCATCTGAGTAACGTCGCTGGCCGGTTAGACTAACGTTACTATCAGGTACGACCCGCCTCCGACAGCATATGCTCGGGTCTTTGCGGGTTTACTGGCCGTGCGCCGGTTTGCGATGCGCCACCTCGCGCTTCCCCGACCATATATTTTGCGGTATAAGACTTTCACGGATGCGGACGAGCATGGTCGCATCTTCTCGACGGAATGGGATGCGGCGCCTTATTACGCCAAACCGACGTTGCGGAACCGCTGGGGTCCAGTCGCCTGGTTGACCTGGGCTTTTGGCCGGCCTTTGCCTGGTGATGAAGGGAAGAAGTATTATCCACAGGGGTACTACGTCCCTGATGTAGGCCCGAAGTATTTCGAAGGAAAGGGTCGGAAAGAGCTGCAGCAGATTACAAAGGAGTTGAGGTCTTCGCGGAGAGGACAGTGTCCTTTTATCTAAGATACCCTAGCAGTGAAAGAACTGACCTCCTGAAGGTTTGACTACGGATCTAGAATCGACGGTGTTCGGCCTGATTGATTGATTTGAGCTTCCAGGCGACTGTGACACATATCGAACATCTTGAATATCTAACACTCAGTATCAAAAAAGACAAAAATGTTATACTTTACAACCCATGCTATGTATGAACTTGAAACCAACAACAACTTCACGACTCCCTAGCGCGAGTTGAAATTATCCAAGACCGCAAACTCCTTCGCAACCTCCCATATCGCTTCGATTTGCTTCACGACCTCATTCTCGAGGGGCCCCTTCTCCAACGCCGTCAGAGTCTGATCCAATTGCTCGACACCACTCGCTCCCGCAATGATCGCATCACCAAGATCTCCGCTCAACCCCGAATGATACGCCACCCATCGGTACGCCAACTCTGCCTTGGGGATTCCCGCCTTCTCCGCGACCTCGTTCCAAGTGTCAAGAACCTTCAACATCTCCGGCTTCATATACAGACCACGATACACCTTTCCGAACCCCAAGTCCGGGTCCCACCGGCCGTTGGCCCCGCTCGCATTCCGGAGCTGCTCGCTCGTCTTGGTCAGGAACCCGCCGGCGATGGGGCTGTACGCGTAGAACCGGATGCCGTGCTCCCGCAGCAAGGGGAAGAGGTCCGTCTCGATGAGGCGTGAGATGGCGTTATAGTTCCCCTGGTACACGGTCGGGTGCACGTAATCGTGTTCCTGACAGAGGCGAAGGACCTCTTTGGTCTCCGCCGCGGTGAAGTTCGACAGGCCGAAATGCTTGATCTTGCCGGCGTGGTAGAGGTCGTTGATGCCCGCGAGAGTGGGCTCGATCGGGGCGCTGCGGTCCGGTGCGTGGATGTAGAAGATGTTGATCTGGGGTTCTGGGTAAGCTTTGCTTATCTCGATAGGTGGAGTGAAAGGAGAAATGCTTGGGGAGTGGAGGTGCATACCGAATCGGTCTTCAACTTCCTTAAGCTCTCCTCTGCATCTGCAATGACTGCCTCGCGCGATGAGCGTCCCGGCCGAAACCCCCCGCCGTGCTTGGTGTCGATGTCGAAGGCCTGGGCTGCGGCGCTGGCCTGGCCGAGGAGTTCTTCGCTGCGGCCGTAGATCTGCGCCGTATCGATTTGTGTGATGTTGTGGCGCTTCAGAACTTGGAGGACCTCGGTAGTCTTTTCTGCCGTGTTGAGCTTGCTGCTGTCGTTGACGAGGCCGGCGCCGAAGACGATGTTTGCTCGCGAGGTAGACATTATTATTAATGGAAATCTTTGTTGAGTGATACGCTTAGAAGATCGCTGAAGAGGATGATGAGCTTGAAGAATCTCTATTGATTGTATGTACAGATTCTGGTCTCCATTTATACATTGTAAACTTGGTATAGATGGGGGCTTGGTATGGGCTAAGCGCAATGCCATTTGTAAGCTACCACTATATTTTCGATTTCAAATCGAGGGTTGCTAGCACATTCGCTTGTGTTTTGTCAGATCTTGAGGGTTTGTAACGGGTGGTTCTCCTGCGGGGTTTAGAGGAGGAAAGATGTTTTCTTGGGAGATCTTCTATTTGAGGTGAAGTGTCTACATTGACTATGTCCTTTGGCTAGTAAGTGGGTCGGTCTTGTAGAATACATAGGGATTCTAGACGGTTTCTGGAGTCCCTCCGTAGTCGAGACATACTTTGGGAGTGCCTTGAGCTAACGGCATAACCAGGGGCTGTGACGTACAAACGAGTGCCTCTGATAGAAGCTTTTACCTGGCCATACTGCTATTCAAGATATAAGAACCGAATCTGTAGCAGCGGACAATTGGACAGAAGCATTCTTCTGCAGACGTGACCCGGCCAAGCCAAGGCTGGACCCAAACCAAAGCTTCCCGCTTCCGCTTGATCGTCACGGAAGCTTCGAAGAAGATTACATAAACCCAGCAAGCATCTCCCCGCAAAAGCCGACGGGGACAATCGGTGATCTCATCCAACCCAACCCCATCAAATTAATTCTTGCATGGCATCTTTTCATACAACTACACGCCCGGCCTAAATGAATCGATAAGCTGCCGCATATTAGTCACCTACAATCGCATTGCGGAACGCTGGCCTCAGCACACAGCAGCTAAATGGCGTCACCCTCCTCGAACGACGCCGCCTCGAACCCGGCGCCATTCGCCAATTTCCCGCAAGACCCCTCCGAATTCGACAGCGACCCGCGCATCTCGTTCTCGAAGCTTGACGACAAGTTCATCCTCGAAACCGACGACGGACAGGAGTATGAATACGATACCGCTCTGAAGCGGTGGATCCCGACGGTGTGTAGCGCGCTCTCTCTCTCTCTCTCTCTCTCTCTCTCTTCGGCCTTGGTGGGCACCTGCTCTGTGTCTACCGGGCTGTTGAAAGTCCTTCCCCTCCTCCCTCTGTTCTTGTTGCTCCCCTCGCTTCGTAATGGGCGATCTGGAGGACTTCTATGCATCGATGGGGAAACTGGGTTCGCATCGGTGTGAAAACAAGCCCGGAACAGGGCTTCTTTTTTCGCCCCGTGCTTGGGAAATCTGGTTGGTTCGTGAAAACTGATCTTTCGCTTGGGTGGTGGCGGGTGTTGCTCTCTCCAGGTCGACGATGACTTGCTGCAGAAACAGCAAGAAGCCTACAAAGTACACGGGGTGGATGAAGATGAACAGGTGACGGCGTCGCAATTGAAGAAGAAGCGCAAGCAGCAGGGCAACGGTGAAGAGGTCAGTTTGCACTCACTCCTGTCTGTCAAGCTTTGTTGTCTACGGGGTTACAAGGCCAGAAAAAAGAAAAAGCTAAGCAAGCTCGGGGTTTTTTCCCTATCTCTGCAGGGCAATGCACAGAAACCGAAGAAACAGCGCGTCAACACGGCCGTCTTCGTGACGTCAATCCCCCTCGATGCCACCTTCGACGAGATCCGCGACCTCTTCTCCAAGTGCGGCGTGATTGCGGAGGAGATCGACAGCGGGCGCCCGCGCATCAAAATGTACAACGACGACGACGGGAAGTTCAAGGGCGAGGCGCTCGTCGTCTACTTCCGGCCGGAGTCGGTCAACCTGGCCATTCAGATGCTGGACGACTCGGACTTCCGGCTGGGCGTGACGGGCCCGCAGGGGGCGATGCGCGTGCAGGCAGCGGATTTCTCCTTCAAGAGCCAGCAGGAGGCCCCGACGAAGACGAGCATGCGCGATAAGCGGAAGATCATCCAGCGGACGCAGAAACTGAACAAGTAAGCTCCAGAAATGGTGGGAGAGGTTGTCGATGATGATGATGATGCTGATCTGTCGACTGGTAGTAAACTTGCCGATTGGGACGATGACGATCCGTCGGCTCTTCCAGATACAAGCTCTCGCTTCGAGAAGATTGTTATTCTGAAACATATGTTCACTTTGAAAGAATTAGATGTACGGATTCCGCTCTAGTGCTGCAATGATCTTCATGCAAAAACTGACTCGCGGTCTCAGGAGGACCCTGCCGCTATACTCGACATCAAGGAAGATATTCGTGACGAATGCTCGAAGCTCGGTGAGATTACGAATGTTGTTCTCTACGATAAGGAGCCGGAGGGGATTGTAAGCGTCCGCTTCCAGGATCCGGAGGCGGCTCGCAACTGTGTTCAGGTGGGTTGCATCCGCATGATATTTACTCCCTTCAAATGGTACATGCTGACGGTTCATGTCGTCCAGATGATGGATGGGCGCTATTTTGCTGGCACGCGAGTGGAAGCATATATCTCCGATGGGAAAGAGAAGTTTAAGAAGACCAATGAGAAGCGGGCAGCGCTGGAGGATTTGGCCGAGAAAGGGTTGGATGCCGAAGATTCGGAGGAAGAGCAGCGCTTGGATGAATTTGGCACGTGGTTGGAAAGCTCTCGCACGGTGGAGAATACTGCCAAATGAGAGCAGCAGCAGCGATATGAGAGGCATTTATTTTCAGGTATCATGGATAGCAAGCAGATCTATATCCACCAACGGGCAATTTGCTCAACTAGGTGGGCAAGGGACTGTGTTTCCCATAGTCATATTCAACCTTAATGAAGAACATGTGTACTATAGCAAAAGAGAATTCAAAGAAGTGATGATCTCCTGCAGCCGGGAAACAAAGAAGGACCAAATCCACAACAAAAACACATGCCATGCCATGGACCAGAGGCTGAGTAGATCAAAGTTCGGTTCGCGTGTGTTGGTTGCTTGCCCGAATTCTCAGGCATACATTCAGCCCTTCCCACGAATCCCGTGCCGGCCAACTGGTGTGGCTGGCACACCAGACCTGATCGGGCTGAGTACTTTCCTCATTGGGATTTTCCCCTTAATATTTGGTCTGCCGGAAGAAAACAATCAAGCCACGGTTCCGAGTCCCGTCTGTGTTCACTGTTGACTTTTTTGTTGTTGATCGGGGGGCTACTCAGGTAACTGTCCACTGCTACTGCACCACTAACTCACCACGCAAGCCCCTAAACAATCCCCCCCCACCACCCCCCGCCCCCTTCACCGCTCTCCTTCTCTATCCAAACACTTCAAACTAACCCAATTCCTCGTTCACTTTCTCCCTTCCTCATCCTCTTCGACTGTCTTCCCCAGTCTCCTCCACCTAATCCCTACATTCCTCCATTCTTCTCCGACAGCTATCAACCCACTTTTTTTCCCTCATCAACTTCAATTACCTTTCACAATGCGCGAAATTGTATGTGTTCTACCCCCTCCGTTGTTGTCCTCCACGGGAGACGCGTCGTCGTTTAGACTTCACTCCCCTGATGCGCCCCCACCAGTTGTTTAATATCAGGATTATGCGGCTAACCTAGTCGCTTTTCACCCAACAGGTTCACCTCCAGACCGGTCAGTGTGTAAGTGAACCCGTGCTGGGACACAACCTTTGTGGTTCGGTTTATTTATGCAGTGGACTAAAACATGGGTGCTGGTGACAGGGTAACCAAATTGGTGCCGCTTTCTGGTATGTCTCTACTTGAGTGAACGGAGACTTGACATGCTCTGAGGACTCTCACTCAGAGTCAAGAACATTGCTGTCAAAGCTTCTCTGTGTCCAATTGAGCTAACAGTCTTCCAGGCAGACCATCTCTGGTGAGCACGGCCTCGACGGCGCCGGTGTGTAAGTACAGACTTCCCAGGCGGCAGGAACAGCGGGTCGCGGAAGATGGTGAAGGATATTAATGGAAAGGACAGTTACAATGGCTCCTCCGACCTCCAGCTGGAGCGCATGAACGTCTACTTCAACGAGGTTCGTCCTCGACTCCTTTC